AGAGGCAGTCAGTGAGCAGAGCCAGGCAGTCAGAGGCAGGGCAGGAGGCAGTGAGAGGCGGTGAGAGGCAGTGAGAGGCGGTGAGAGGCAGTGAGAGGCGATGAGAGGCAGTGAGAGGTGGTGAGAGGCAGTCCGTGAGCAGAGGAAGGCAGTGAGAGGCGGTAAGAGGCGGTGAGAGGCAGTGAGAGGCGGTAGAGGCGATGAGAGGTAGTCAGTGAGCAGAGGTAGGTAGTCAGAGGCAGGGCAGGAGGCAGTGAGAGGCGGTGAGAGGCAGTGAGAGGCGGTTAGAGGCGGCAAGAGGTGGTGAGAGGCAGTGACATGCAGTGAGAGGCAGTGAGAGGCGGTGAGAGGCAGTGAGATGTAGTCAGCGAGCAAAGGAAGGCAGTCAGAAGCAGTGAGAGGCAATAGAGGCGGTGAGAGGCAGTCAGTGAGCAGAGGCAGGCAGTCAGAGGCAAGGCAGGAGGTAGTGAGAGGCAGTGTGAGGTGGAGAGACGCAGTGAGAGGCGGTGAGAGGCAGTGAGAGGTAGTCAGCGAGCAAAGGAAGGCAGTCAGAAGCAGTGAGAGGCAGTAGAGGCCGTGAGAGGCAGTCAGTGAGCAGAGGCAGGCAGTCAGAGGCAAGGCAGGAGGTAGTGAGAGGCAGTGAGAGGTGGTGAGAGGCAGTGAGAGGTGGTGAGAGGCAGTGAGAGGCGGCGAGAGGTGGTGAGAGGCAGTGACATGCAGTGAGAGGCAATGAGAGGCGGTGAGAGGCGGTGGAAGGCTGTGGCATGCATTGAGAGGCGGCGAGAGGCAGTGAGAGGCGGTGAGAGGAAGTCAGTGCAGAGGCAGGCAGTCAGAGGCAGGGAAGGAGGCAGTGAGAAGAGGTGAGAGGCAGTGAGACGCGGGGAGAGGCAGAGAGAGGCGGCGAGAAGGGGTGAGAGGCAATGACATGCAGTGATGAGAGGCAGTGAGAGGAAGTTAGAGGCAATCAAAGGCAGTGAGAGGCAGTGAGAGGCAGTAAAGGCGGTGAGAGGCAGTCAGTGAGCAGAGGCAGGCAGTCAGAGGCAGGGCAGGAGGCAGTGAGAGGCGGCGAGAGATGGTGAGAGGCAGTCAGTGAGCAGAGGCAGGCAGTCAGAGGCAGGGCAGGAGGCAGTGAGAGGCAGTGAGAGGCGGTGAGAGGCAGTGAGAGGCGGTGAGAGGCGGCGAGAGGCGGTGAGAGGCAGTAGAGGCGATGAGAGGCAGTCAGTGAGCAGAGGTAGGCAGTCAGAGGCAGGGCAGGAGGCAGTGAGAGGTGGTGAGAGGCAGTGAGAGGCGGCGAGAGGTGGTGAGAGGCAGTGACATGCAGTGAGAGGCGGTGAGAGGCAGTGAGAGACAATGAGAGGCGGTGAGAGGCGGTGAGAGGCGGTGGAAGGCGCTGAGAGGCTGTGACATGCAGTGAGAGGCGGCGACAGGCAGTGAGAGGAAGTCATTGAGCAGAGGCAGGCAGTCAGAGGCAGGGAAGGAGGCAGTGAGAAGAGGTGAGAGGCAGTGAGAGGCAGAGAGAGGCGGCGAGAGGCGGTGAGAGCCAGTGACATGCAGTGAGAGGCAGTGAGAGGAAGTTAGAGGCAATGAGAGGCGGTGAGAGGTAGTGAGAGGCGGTGAGAGGCAGTCAGTGAGCAGAGGCAGGCAGTCAGAGGCAGGGCAGGAGGCAGTGAGAGGCGGTGAGAGGCGGCGAGAGGTGGTGGGAGGTAGTGACATGCAGTGAGAGGCAGTGAGAGGCGGTGAGAAGCAGTGAGAGGCAGTGAGAGGTGGTGAGTGGCGATGAGAGGCGGTGAGGGGCGGTGAGAGGCGGTGAGAGGGGTCAGTGAGCAGAGGCAGGTAGTCAGAGGCAGGGAAGGAGGCAGTGAGAAGAGGTGAGAGGCATTGAGAGGCGGCGAGAGGCGGCGAGAGGCGGTGAGAGGCAGTGACATGCAGTGAGAGGCAGTGAGAGGAAGTTAGAGGCAATGAGAGGCAGTGAGAGGCAGTGAGAGGCGGTGAGAGGCAGTGAGAGGCGGTGAGAGGCGGCGAGAGGCAGTGAAAGGCGGTGAGAGGAAGTCAGTGCAGAGGCAGGCAGTCAGAGGCAGTGAGAAGAGGTGAGAGGCAGTGAGACGCGGCGAGAGGCAGAAGAGAGAGAGAGAGAGAGAGAGAGAGAGAGAGAGAGAGAGGCGGCGAGAGCCAGTGACATGCAGTGAGAGGCAGTGAGAGGAAGTTAGAGGCAATGAGAGGCGGTGAGAGGTAGTGAGAGGCGGTGAGAGGCAGTCAGTGAGCAGAGGCAGGCAGTCAGAGGCAGGGCAGGAGGCAGTGAGAGGCGGTGAGAGGCGGCGAGAGGTGGTGGGAGGTAGTGACATGCAGTGAGAGGCAGTGAGAGGCGGTGAGAAGCAGTGAAAGGCAGTGAGAGGTGGTGAGTGGCGATGAGAGGCGGTGAGGGGCGGTGAGAGGCGGTGAGAGGGGTCAGTGAGCAGAGGCAGGTAGTCAGAGGCAGGGAAGGAGGCAGTGAGAGGAAGTTAGAAGGCAATGAGAGGCAGTGAGAGGCAGTAAAGGCGGTGAGAGGCAGTCAGTGAGCAGAGGCAGGCAGTCAGAGGCAGGGCAGGAGGCATTGAGAGGCAGTGAGAGGCAGTGAGAGGCGGCGAGAGGTGGTGAGAGGTAGTGACATGCAGTGAGAGGCGGTGAGAGGCGGTGAGAAGCAGTGATAGGCGGTGTGAGGCAGTAGAGGCGGTGAGAGGCAGTCAGTGAGCAGAGGCAGGCAGTCAGAGGCAGGGCAGGAGGCAGTGAGAGGCAGTGAGAGGCGGTGAGAGGCAGTGAGAGGTTGTGAGAGGCAGTCCGTGAGCAGAGGAAGGCAGTGAGAGGCGGCGAGAGGCGGTGAGAGGCAGTGAGAGGCAGTAGAGGCGATGAGAGGCAGTCAGTGAGCAGAGGTAGGCAGTCAGAGGCAGGGCAGGAGGCAGTGAGAGGCAGTGAGAGGTGGTGAGAGGCAGTGAGAGGCGGCGAGAGGTGGTGAGAGGCAGTGACATGCAGTGAGAGGCAGTGAGAGGAAGTTAGAGGCAATGAGAGGCGGTGAGAGGTAGTGAGAGGCGGTGAGAGGCAGTCAGTGAGCAGAGGCAGGCAGTCAGAGGCAGGGCAGGAGGCAGTGAGAGGCGGTGAGAGGCGGCGAGAGGTAGTGGGAGGTAGTGACATGCAGTGAGAGGCAGTGAGAGGCGGTGAGAAGCAGTGAGAGGTGGTGAGTGGCGATGAGAGGCGGTGAGGGGCGGTGAGAGGCGGTGAGAGGAAGTCAGTGAGCAGAGGCAGGTAGTCAGAGGCAGGGAAGGAGGCAGTGAGAAGAGGTGAGAGGCGGCGAGAGGCGGTGAGAGGCAGTGACATGCAGTGAGAGGCAGTGAGAGGAAGTTAGAGGCAATGAGAGGCAGTGAGAGGCGGTGAGAGGCAGTGAGAGGCAGTGAGAGGCGGTGAGAGGCAGTAGAGGCAGTCAGTGAGCAGAGGCAGGCAGTCAGAGGCAGGGCAGGAGGAAGTGAGAGGCGGTGAGAGCCGGTGGGAGGCAGTGAGAGGCAGTGAGAGGCAGTCAGTGAGCAGAGGAAGGCAGGGGTTACATAACACCTGGAGTTACAGCATCCATATGAAAAACTCATACAAAAATTATGTGTGAATCAAGATTATTTGACAAAAGCTGCTCATCTTTATCAACTACCTAGGTACTTTGCGGGCTGGTACAGTTTGTTATATGTCACATCACCCTAGGCCCTCTTAAAGCTAGTTAGGTCAGGTGCGGTCGCAACATTTTCTGCGAGGCCATTCTGATTCCAGATGACGATGAGAATACATTGGGTGGAGAAAGATTGTAGACAAACATCTGGTGTAGCATGTGGCACGCATACCTTGTGACAATAGCCTTGAGTACAGTTCCAAAATTGGATAGTCTGCACATAGGAGCCTTCCTGCAACTGAACACAGAGGGGTGTTCGCGGGCATCGTAAACTGCTGAGTTCACTGTGTGTGGTATGTACAGCAAGCTTAGGGGTAGGGGAAGGGTAACTGGTTCTGATGTCACAGCTGCATGCCATGCGGTGGACGGCCTGTGGCCAGTCCCGACCGACCACAGCGGTTGCTGTGTGCGGTGACAGAAGAATGGCTTAGGGACGCAGTGGGCGGAGCTTAGAGCTTGTGTATAGTCCGACTGCACACAGGGCCCGTGAACAGCCCTCAGATAGGTCATAGGTATGCATAGGTTTCAAAAGTACCTATAATAATCAGCTAGCATAAAAACTCATTCTAAGAATTGTGGCTGATAACCCTGATTCTGAAGCCACGCCCATTCCATGGATCACACACATCATATCACCTTCACCTTAACTTACACACCACGGCATGTTATATCAATATGTTATATGTATATACCTACACTCAAGGCCCTATATACCCTTACCCAAGATTTACCCTTACCTACACCATGGAACCCATGGGCCTACACTACAAAATAAAATGAATATGGCGCGGTGCCTATTTACACGCGTCAATTATGTCATTGATGCGCCACAATACCTACCTGTCAGCCATATTGGAAAACAAATGCTCGTTTTTCTAAATACTCATTCTGGCTTTTCTAAGGCTTGCCGAGCTTAGAAAATTTTACCATTAAATTTAGAAGACAAAGTTGAGGGGTGATTTGAATTTTAACAAAAATTGAAGGGGTCCGCTCTCAAATGACCTTGACCTTTGACCCCTCATATCTCAGCCCCCAGAGCTTGCCGAACTTAGATAATTTAGGATATTAATCAGGGTGTCTAGATGCATCAGCTCACAAAATTTCATTAAGATCTGAGGGGTCCGCTGTAAAAGGGTCACGTGACCTCCACGTGGCTGCAAACTTTGACCTGACCTAACTTCCAGGTCAGGGCTTGCCGGGCTTAGATTTTATGCCCATCGTGCTCAGCAGGTCAATTTGCATCTGTGTGCAAATTTTGAGGTAATTCTGAGGGGTCCGCCCTCAATGACCTTGAACTTTGACCCCTGATATCTCAGCCCCCAGGGCTTGCCGAGCTTAGATAATTTTATTCTGTGATGACCAGGTCATGTTGAGTGGCTGGTGTAAATTTGGTGAGATTCTAAGGGGTCCGTTTTTATCATTTTTATCGAATATGAATTTGGAATCTGAATTTGAATTTGAAGCTAAGTATATAAACGTACGGCGACGAGGGTGAAGGCGCTGCAGATTTTTACTAAAAAACGGAAAAGTAAGCAATTGTTGCATGTTTTTTGTGTCACAATATTTTTTATATTGTGAATATTGCCATTTGTATCTTTTGTTAATATCTTAATGACAGTTGTTAGGAGACATTATCCTCTTGGCACCCGAGAGCAAGGTATCAATAGAATCACCACAAAAATCCATTCCCTGGCTTAAAATAAGGTAAGTATGGATAAAATACACTCTCAGTAGAGACTCCTAATTGTGCGCATGCGCTGTGACCTGTACACTATGGTACACTTTCGGATTCGGGGACTACAAAAATGGTGTAATACGTGAAAAATGACATTGCATTGTTTCGACAAACCTCCCTCAAAATCATCATAAAGACAGAGTGACTGTATTTATCAACATGAACGATCATCAGATACAGCAGATGAAGGGCGCACTGACGCTCACCAGAGACGGAGCTGAGGTGTGCGCGCTGACGCTCACCAGAAACGGAACTGAAGGGTGCGCGCTGACGCTCAGCAGAAACGGAGCTGAAGGGTGCGCGCTGACGCCCAGCAGAAACGGAGCTGCGCGCTGACGCTCACCAGAGAGGGAGCTGAAGGGTGCGCGCTGAAGCTCCCCAGAAACGGAGCCGAAGGGTGCGCGCTGATTGTCCACGGTGTTTACACATTCGAACCTCCCTCGTGGAACTGATGGAAGCAGTCACGATCCGGGCGGCAGCAGAGGAAGATCTTGCACCTGCGGCACTCCATCCCTGTCTGCTGATGGCACCCGGGCTTCCTGCACCGCTTAAACTCCTTCCGAGGGTGGCACTTGGGGAGGTGCTTCCCTGAACGCAGGCGAGCTGGTGACGGCATTGGCACTGTGGCTCGACGGCGCTTCTTTGGATCCGGTCCGTCAGGCTCTTCTACGTCGCTGCTTCCTGAGCTGCTGTGGGATGAGCCATCGGAGCTGATGCCCTTCAGGAGCTGCATCGCCAGGGCATACTTGAACTGGAGGAATTTCATCATCTCGGCACCCTTGATGCCGGCTTCTTCGGCATCTTGCTGGTACAGTAGCCACGCATTGACAGCTGACAAGTCGAAGAAGTGAAGGATTGTTTTTACCGTCCACTTCCGAGTTCTCGCGCCAGACCTATAGTGCGCGATCATCCGATCATTCAGATCCACTCCTCCCATGTTGGCGTTGTAGGCCTTGACGACTGCAGGACGAGTTACGTCAATGTACGACCGACTTGTCCTCTGGTACCTTTTACAGGTGTCTGAAGGCTCGATGCCGTGTTCGGTTGATCCCAACAGGATCATCTTGCGATCTTGCCAGGCCGTGAAAGCTACAACGTCGTCACTGCGGACAGCGCACACAGACGTCCCTCTTCCTCGTATGGCGAGTTCCCTCTCTGTCGGCAGTTTGGCCTCCATCGGGACCAGATTTTTCTTGATGGTACCAGTCCCGTGAAGCCCTCGAGCCTCCAGCTGTTCCAGGAGGCGGGACGTTGTAAAGTACCTGTCGAAGTACACGGATGTCCCCGGAACCAAGGTTTGCACCAGTCTCATCACCACAGACTCGCCCACCGTCCATGGCTTGCCTTCAGCGCCTCCGTCGTCAAGTTTCTTCCCTTGGTAGACCTCGAAGTCGAGAACGAGTCCTCGCGGTAATGCCAGCACGAAGTTCTTAAGACCTTCTGGGTGAGGCTTTCCAGGCACATACTGCTTCAGTGACGTTTTCCCCGTGAAAGGAATCATCTGCTCGTCGATGGACACCTGAGGAGGCCTTTCCTGCTGCAGACAGCCACTTCGAACGCTTTCGACGAGGGGACGCACCTTCCACAAGCGGTCCTTCTTCTGCTCATCGGTGACGTCGACATCATTCACTACTTTCAAGTGTCCCCGAATGAAGTGGAAACGATCCCGAGTGAAAGCGTCTGCCACTGCTGCGATCCGCGTTGGTTGTGACCAGTACATGCGTATCCAGGGGAACTTGAGCACAGACATCAGCAAGCTAGCCCCGAAGAACTGCTCGCACTCGTCGTTCTTCAAGAGGAGGCTTTTGCCCGTTTGAGCGACCGCATGCTGATTAGTTCGCAGCGCGATGGTTCGATAGATTTGAGGAGGGATGAACACTTCCATGTACTCTCGGGGAGTCTTCACCCGAGCCTGGGAGGGACCTAGCCTCTCTGGGATACATCGGCCAGCATCACCAGCTCCCTGCTGGCGAGACTTCGGAACGAACTCCTCCGATCTTCTGTAGAACACGCGCCTGGACAACGGATGCTCGGAAGGACCATCGTCATCTCCGGAAACACCGTGTGCATCGTCATCGCTATCGTTTTCTGGCCCTGAGGAGTGAGGACTGAATTTGGTCTGGACCAGGACTGAAGTCTTCATCAGAGTCATCGAGGGATTCATCCAGGTCGGAATCTCTCAAGGACTGGAGGTAGGTGGCGATCTCCTCTGGGGTCCTCAGGACACCTTGGAACACACACACAGTAAGGAGGATTAGATAGGTACCCATTTTGAATGAAATATCTAGCTAAGTATGCTTGCGTATCTAAAATAAGAATGAGTCATATTATGTATGAATCATAGTGTTATGTGACGAAAGTGTACCATAGTAAACAATTTTTGTGGGTGCGATTACCTGGTGTGTACTATAGTGTACAACGCGACCTAATTTGCTGTAAACTAAGGGAATATTTGACACCAGGAAGGGAAAATGAGCTCTTTTGAATGTTTATGCGGCTCAATGACAATATATCGCGCTCCATTGGAAATTATTTTACGAAAACATATTTTTTATAGAAAATAACTTCGCTCTGCCGAATGTGCACTATAATGGACATGACCTATTTGAACCACTTGCCTTCATGTGAACGGCTCTATATTTATTTTTGCACCTTAGGGGAATCACCCAAGCTTCACTTAAAACGGACCAATAAAAAGATTATTTAATGTTGCACGAAATACACGAAAATATTAAATTTCCCGAGAGCTCACCTGAAGCGCGCTTCCCCCGCGAGGACGCCATCACTAACGACATCCGGTGGCAAAATAAAAAAGCGTTGTCGAGTTAACCGACCAACAGGTGGCAGGCCCGGAGTGTCAAAAACATAGGAGAAACTTAACCGAGAAGCTGACTCTGAGAGAGGCGGTCCCAGCCGCCTAAATGTCAGTGTGTACTATAGTACACAAAAAGAGCCAAGAGGTTATACTACAACTTGAACAAGGCAGCATGACTTGACTTTTGACTCAGAGCCAAGAGGTGACTTACTTTGCTTACTTCTCAGTCAAAACCTGGCAAACAATGATTAAAATTTGTCATGTTTTAAATCTGCATTTTGTGGACAAAGGGGTAGATAGGCACACACCACATATCATCCAGGTTTTTCATTTTTATCCCAATATGCTGTGAATGGTACCTGTGCGGAATGATCACCAATTGGCAATTGCAATCATTTAAGAAATGAAAGTGTGACTGCAAAGTGCAATTGTATTGCACTGGTGCAAAAATACAGAAAGGCATCAGTAGGGCAGACGTACCTAGCACCAGCAGACATATGTTTGTTATGTTCGTGATTCACGGTTCGAGTGAGAGAGAGCTTAAGAGAAACGCGATTTATTTACTGCTGGTGCGAATGGGCCGAGAGAGTCCTCCAAAACTAAACAAGTATGGCCAGCGCCACGCCTAGTCGCCCGCGCCAGTCATGCCGCTTGGCGCGCACGATCAGCTGAGCGTCGGCAGGGGCGCTCCCAGGCACACAGAGGTGGGGCCGCAGAGGCGGTCCAAGTACACACCCCCTATACCCGAACACAACATCCCCCCTCGAGACAACAGTTGTCAAAAACACACAAAAACACAACAATGCACGACGTTGTCTCACAGTCACTCCGCATACGAGGTCGCACCCCATTGAACTCGGAGCCGACCAGGAGCGCGGCGCTGCCGTCGAGAACGACGCGGGAGAGCGGCGGCGGCCGTCTCCACCTGGGGTGACCGCACCGGCGACGAGCGGCACACGGCCGGCGCACTAGCGGCGGGTCGGACCGCCCTCTCGGCGGCGACCGCGGTGCGCGCTGGCGGCGGCGGCGGCGGCGGCGGCTGAGGCGCACCCGCAGCGGGCGGGCGCGGGGCGGACGGAGCCACAGGCGGGGTGGGTTCCGTCAGAAGCGGCCGGTATGGGCGCAGGTAGCGGCGGTTACGCCACAGGACCTTGCCACTGGCCGTCTTGACGAGGTACGTGCGCCGCTGACCGACGCCCACGATCACTCCGATCCGGTTCCATCGGCCGGTGGCGGGGTCTTGAAGGTCGACCCGACTGCCGATCTTGAGCGGTGACAGCCGGCGCGTGCTCTTGTTGTAGCACCTGACGGCCTGCTCCTGGAGCTCGGCAGCCTTTTCCTCGCAGACATCGGCCGCCCGCTGCCACTCAGGAGCGAAGGCGCGGTGGTGCGTGGGAACACCAGAGCGAAGCGGGTGACCAAACAGCACCTGTGCCGGCGACCGCCCGTCTGCTCGGGGCGTGTTACGGAGTTCGAGCAGACTTCGGTCCAGTTGGTCCTGGTCGAGCCGGCCCGATGAGGACGCAGCCAGCACCAGCTTCTTCGCTGTCTTCACGCAGGCCTCCGCGTGCCCGTTAGCGCGCGGGTAGTGCGGTGACGACATCTCATGTCGTACGTCCCAGCGCTGGAGGAACCGGCGGAGCGTGCCTGATGCAAACTGGGGTCCGCCGTCTGACCGGAACACGGTCGGGACGCCCGTCTGCGAGAACATCAGTCGGAGCTGCCGCGTCAGATGGTCTGCCGAGGCCGTGCGGGGACACACTGTGACATACGGCCACCCGGACAGCCGGTCCACGTACACCAGGTACGTGTGTCCTCCAGCGGAGAAGTAGTCGGCCGAGACCGACTCGAAGACGCGTGTCGGTGCGCCGTCCTCCTGCCACATCGGCTCCCGGGCGTGGCTGGGCAGGCGCTGACGGCACTGAGCGCAGGCGGCGACAGTGTCAGCAATCTGCTTGTCGATGCCCGGCCAGTACACACTGAGCCGAGCACGGCGCTTGGTCCTATCAACGCCCTGGTGTGACTCGTGGAGTTTCTCCAGCACACCGCGTCGGAGGGCGGACGGGATGACCAGTCGAGCGCCGTAGACCACCAGTCCGTCGTCGATGGCCAGCTGATGGCGCACGCCCCAGTACGCTCGTACTGCAGGGGGCGTCTCGTGCCGGTTCTCTGGGAATCCGGCCAGGATCAGCTCGCTGAGAGTCTGGTACTCGGTGTCGCGCTCCGCGGCGGCGCGGACTCTCTCCAGTGTGGAGTCGACCAGCGGAGCCAGCTGGGCGCCCTCCTCCGATCGGGTGGAGGCCTGCAGCGCGGCAATGACGCTGGCGTGCAGCGGGTCGTCCTCGGTGTCCACCGCTCCGTCGTCATCAGCGGCGGGGTCGCTGGTGGGCGCTCGCGAGAGCGCGTCTGGGATCACGTGACTCGATCCCTTCTGCCAGCTGGTGGTGAAGCTGTAGGCCAACAACTTCTCTCTCATCCGCTGCAGACGCGGGTTGTCGATCGAGTTGAGCTGCTTGTAGTTTAGGATGGTCACCAGCGGTCGGTGGTCGACCACCAGGTCGAAGTGGGGCATGCCAGCCAGGTAGACATGGCACTTCTTGCAGGCCCAGAGTACAGCAGCCAGCTCCAGCTCGATTACAGCATATCGGCTCTCGGTATCGGTCAGGAACCGTGAACCATACTGGACCACACGCCAGTCCTCGCCGTGCCTCTGGAGCAGTGCAAAACCCAGTCCTCGGGTTTTAGCAGCGTCCGTCTGTAGCACGGTCGGCAGCTGGGGGTCGAAGAATGCCATCACCGGCGGTGACGACAGCACAATCTTGGTGTGCAGAAACGCTGCCTCGTGCTGCTCAGTCCAGCGCCAGACCCGGCGCGACTTGAGGAGGTCTCTGAAGGCCTGAGTCGAGTCAGCCAGCTCCGGTGTGAGGCCGCTCAGCTGATTTACCAGACCCATGAAGGACCGCAGGTCGGTGACGTTCTCCGGTCTCGGGAAATCAGCGATGGCGCGCGCCTTTTCATTGTCGGTGGTGTAGCCGGCCGGGGTGATCTTGTAGCCGCAGAATTTGACCTCATTCTGGGCGAACTTGAACTTCAGCGGGTTCAGCGTGATTCCTCGGTCGTCACAGCGCCGGAGGATGTCGATCACCTGCTGCAGGTGCTGCCGGTACGTCTGTGCCACGGCCAGGATGTCGTCGACAATCTTGACACAGTTTGGGATGTCGCCGAGCGCGGCATCGCCGCGCCGGTTGTACTCGTCTCCAGACGCACTGCATCCCATCGGACAGCGGACGAACTTGAACCTGCCCCACGGCGTGATGAAGCAGGTGAGGTCCTGACTTGACTCAGCGAGCGGCACCTGGAAGTAGCCCATCTTGGCGTCCAGAGTCGACATCCACCGGTGCCCGGCGGGCAGACTCGTCACGGCATCGTGAGGAGACCGGCAGGGGTACGTGGGTCGATTCACGTACCGGTTGAGTCCCGTCAGGTCCACGCAGAGTCGAAACCCGGACGGGTTCTTCGGCACGCACGAAATGGGATGGCACCATTCCGTCGGGTAGTCCACAGGGACGATGACGCCGCGGTCCAGCAGGTCGTCCAGCTGCGCCTTTACCTCGGCACGCCAGGCGAAGGGGATCGGTCTCGCAGCGGTGACCGACGTCGGACACGCGTCGGGCCGGAGTTCGATCGTCATCAGACCGCCGTCCATGACTCGAAGAGTCGAATCTTGCCCGAACACACGCGGGAAACACTCCACCAGAGCGGCTGCATGAGCTGCACGGACCGCCTCCGGTGGGTCTGAGTCGCTGTCCCAGGCCGGCAGCGGACCGCTGAGGCCGGCGGCCGGCCCGGGTCCATCGGCCGGCGGCGCCGGCGCGCCCGTCTCGGTCCCGGTGGCCGGACAGGGCCTGTCACGCGGCTCCTCATACGGGGCCGAGCGGCCGCTGGCGCTACGAGCGGAGCCGGCAGCGGCCGGCGGTGCAGACGGTGTGACGTCATTAGAGGGTGTGACGTCACCAGCGGATGTGACGTCAACAGAGACCGTGACGTCATCAGCAGGGCGCGGTGCGTCCTCGACGGACCGGATCTGTGCCGGAAAATCCCTCGGCAGAATCCCCAGCGCCACACAGTCGAACCAGCTGAGTAGCAGGCCAGTCAGCTCCCTGATGACGAACACGGCAGCGGTGGTCGATCGGTCGCCCAGCTCCAGAGTAGCCCGGAACGACCCGACACAGGTGAGCGGCTGTTTCCCTACTGCTGAAAATGGCTGGCCGATGCAGGGCTCCAACTGCGCTGGTTCCACGCAGATGGAAGACAGGCTGTCTTCGCCGATGACTGTCGCCTCGGCGCCGGAGTCGGCCCGGGCCGGCACGGTGAACACACCAGCCGGCGTAGACAGTCGGACAGTCACAGTGGGAGTCGGCCGCGTCGAGATGCCGTTCACGTAGACGTCTCTGATGACACGGCAGATGCGCGGCTCTGACGGCTGCCCCACCGCGGGCCGCGCGCGCTCCGGTGCTGCGCGCTCGGCGGGGGCAGCGGCGCTCTCGCGCGCCACCTGGGCGCACACCACTGCAAAGTGGCCGCGCTGGCCACACGAGTTGCAGATGGCGCTAGTAGCGCGGCACGCCGCCGGGTCTGCGTGGGCGGCCCGCCCGCAGCGGCAGCAGCGCGCGCCGGCCGCGCCCGCGGAGCGCCCGCCAGGTTGGGCCGCGGGGCGCGCCTGGGGGCGGCGCACGCCGGCCGTACCCGCGGAACGCCCGCCGGGTTGGGCCGCGGGGCGCGCATCGCGCGACCTTGAACGGCGGTATGCCGACAGACGGCTCACTGACGCCGTCGGTGAGCGGAGGTCGGAGCAGGTAGCCCGGGCGTTCTCTGACGCACGGCAGATGTCCACCGTCTTCTTGAGGTCCAGCCCCGGATCCTCCAACAGACGCTTCACCGTCTCCTCGTCCCGCAGGCCACACACAATCTTGTCACGCAGGCGTGAGTCGTAACAGTGTGTGCAAAAGTCGCAAAATGCCGCGAGCTCCTTCACTTCGCACAGAAACTCCTCAAAATTCTCGCCCTGCTCCTGGACACGGGCGTAGAACGCACGGCGGTCGACCAGGACACTGCGCTGCTTACGGAGATGACTCTCCATGGCGTCTACCACCGCGGAGAGGGGAGAGTCGTCCGCTATCGTCAGTCCATAGCGCAGCACCCGGTGCCAATCTTCGTCGAGAAGACTGAGAAGGGCAGCTCTCTGGGCAGTGACGGGCAGCGCGGACGCGCCGGTCAGAAGCATGTACCCGTCCAGCTTCTCCCTCCATACAGCGAAGTCGCGCAGGGATGTGGAGGACGACAGATGAGGCGCCGGCGTTGCAGCAGCAGGCAGGCGCACGGGCGGGGCGGCAGCCGACGTCCGGGCGGCTGTCGCCGCCGAGGCATCGTCGGCAGCGACGGTAGCGGGTGGCTGTCGGTCGGCGACCAGTCGCTCCACCATCTGAGTGAGCCGCTCCTCGCGCTGCGCTGAGTCTCGCTCCCGCTGCGCCGACAGCTCCGCCTGCTGCAGGAGCAGCTGCGTCAGTTTCTCAATGTCACTCATCGTCACAGATCACGGCGCGCTATACACTAATTACTGATACACTGATACACCGATCACTGCGCGCACGCACGGAACCATCTACTGACCGCGCCATGTTATGTTCGTGATTCACGGTTCGAGTGAGAGAGAGCTTAAGAGAAACGCGATTTATTTACTGCTGGTGCGAATGGGCCGAGAGAGTCCTCCAAAACTAAACAAGTATGGCCAGCGCCACGCCTAGTCGCCCGCGCCAGTCATGCCGCTTGGCGCGCACGATCAGCTGAGCGTCGGCAGGGGCGCTCCCAGGCACACAGAGGTGGGGCCGCAGAGGCGGTCCAAGTACACACCCCCTATACCCGAACACAACAATGTTGTGGTGTGATAAAGTTGCTAAAGGCTTGAGACTTTTTAAAGACATGCATACTGCAGCCTGGGGAGTTCTGCAGGGGCAAATGCAGGCAGTAGGCACTGCCAGATGATATCAAAAAATGGGCCCTTAGCCTCATAGCCATACTTCAATGCCCTTTTTTCTTCTGTCATAACCAGGCAAATATGTTTTTTGTGGACAGTTCTTTGCCAATTCCTTAAGTTTGTAGTTTGACATTGATTTAGCATTGATAGCACCCTAGGGCCTAGGCCTAAGCTTAAGCATCTTATGTTGACGTGCAACAATAGGGGTGTTCACGGGCACCGCACACTGCTGCGTGCGGTGTGTGCGGTGCGTCCAGCAGGCGTGGGGGTAGGGGATGGGTAGGCGGCTCTGACGTCACGGCTGCGTGCGGTGGACGGTCCGCTGTGGCCAGTCCCGATCGGCCACAGCGGTCGCTGTGTGCGGTGACGGAAGGCTGACGTAGGGACGCAGTGGGCGGAGCTTGGAGGCTGTGTGCGGTCCGACCGCACACAGGGCCCGTGAACAGCCCTAATGTTGTGATAACTTTCCAGTTAATAGTTCCCATGATTTTCTTGTTGTTTTTTAATTAGTTACCTACCATAATTAAATTTCTGGTTACAATGATGCATCTAGATTCTAGAAATGCATAGCATATTGAACAAGTGTTAGTAGTGGCTAACATCTTTTATGGATAGCCAGTGGGGTGCTGTAAGGCAGACCTGACCTGATCTGACCTGAATCCATCCTACCCCGAATGCATGAGTCATCTTAAATGAAAACAGATTGAAGGTTTAAAATAAGAACCAGGGAAAAACAAAGAAAGCTTCAAATCTTAAGAAGTTCTAGCCAGGGCTGCGGAGTCGGAGTCGGAGTCGGAGTCGGTCGGATTCGACAGTTGTGACCGGAGTCGGAGTCGGAGTCGATTTTAGAAACCCGAGCCGGAGTCAGAGTCACCGAAAATCTGTCGACTCCGCAGCCCTGCTAAGTGCTAGGTCTGCGGAGTCGGAGTCGGGAGTTGGAGTCGGTCGGAGTCCGGAGTCGGAGTCGGAGTCGGAGCTGGTTTTTGAAAGCCGGAGTCGGAGTCGGAGTCGCCGAAAATCCATCGACTCCGCAGCCCTGGTTCTAGCAGCTCCCAATTTTCCCATCATAGGTCATTGGCCTTACCTGAAAGGTCAACCAATGGTGTGGACTGTGGATTAAAATTGGGTATTCTTGGCAGCTCCTCTTGTCATGGGCAGCACGCTAGCTTTCTGTGTAGCTCTAGCTTGATGGGGGTCCAATAGAATGGCTAGGAAGCCCAATCAAGGTCAGCCCTCCCCTTTTATTCAGTTAAACAGCTGTGAAAAGGCAAGTAGGGGACAGAGCAACATTTTAACCTTCCAAAATGTTTTTTTCTGCAGTTATTAATTTGTTGTGTTAATTTGTGCATGTGTCGTGTGTACTTTCTAAACCTTCCCAAATGACTGCAGGATCTGCATAAAATGAACGCCATTAAGCCCTGCAGCGAAGAGGAGGGTATGTCCAATGGTGTCAACAGCGGGCCGGAGGAGGACGATCCAGTGGATCAGGAGAGGCAGGAGAGGGAACACTTCCAAAGGGTCATCAATGCCTTCAAATATTACAGGTAATAGCTCAGGCGCATTGTAATTTGCGATTATCATGCTGTCAGTAATATCCCGGACTGTACAGTGTATAATTGTTTTCAGAGTATTTTTGTTTGCAATCATAATCCATATTCACATGCTTATATGAGGATGTTACTCTGCACATTGCACGCCATAACATGTTTCCTCATTATCCGTTTACCTGACCTTGCATTTCCCATCTCAGGGTGCACTTCCTGGGTAAGATTGAGAAGAACGAGACGTTCATGTCTCTGATGACGACTCGGCAGCGCGAGCTCCTCACCGACTACGCCGAGCACCTGCGCCAGCTGCGCGTCTGCGTCGAGCACAACCACGAGATCATCAAACTGATCCTGCAGGACGTGGGTGTCATGTTCGAGAACAGCCGACACGACGAACAGGTAGGTCGCCGCGGAAACGACCAGTCTTCGTGCTTAAGCATTGCAAGGGTCGGAGCTGAACGCAAAACGGACAGTCCTCGGCTTTGAGCAATGATCTCGGCCTCATGTGACCGCTTGTACCAACGCTGCCGCGAAAAAGCAAAAACGATAAAGTTCAAGTCTGCCGTCCAAAGGCAAAAACGCATATGTCTGGTCATGACCTGACCCGACATATGCGTTTTTGCCTTTGGACGGCAGAAGTGACCTCCGGCCTGATGTAATGAGCCCTGACCTAACGTAATCGTTTTTGCCTTAAGCCTTTACCCGGCAGAACAAATGTCGCACCAATGAGCCACCACATGAGATCTACCAGTGAATTAGTGAATATCGTACCACTTGCATCAATGAATGTCGCGTCCAAGATCCTCACAGATACCGAACGAACGAACCAACGAATCGGTCGTACCAACGAACTAATGAATGTCATACCACCGAACTAGCGCATGCCGTACCAATGCTCTTCTCTGGCTCATCACCACTGACTCAGCCTCGTCTCGTGTGCCGTGTCGGTAGGAGTTCCGGGGCCTGTCCCGTCCGAATCTCTCCGAGATGGAGAAGGTGAGCTCCGTACTACGTCAGGTGGTGCGCGACTGGAGCGTCGAGGGCGAGGCCGAGCGGCGTCAGTGCTACCAGCCGATCGTCGACGAGATCCAGAGGAGGTTCCCGCCCACCGGAGACACGTGAGTGGGCCATGGGAGGCGCCGGCAGAGCGTCGGCTGAGGTCCGTGTGCCGTTATAGGGGCAAGGCGCGCCATCGTAATTAAGAACCGTTTACTTTGATGGGTAGCTCTTGTCATTTAAGATCCTGTTTAAGATGCCCGCTTTAATTTAGCTCATGAGTGCTGACTTTGTTACGTTGCACATCTACTCAGTTAAGCGACGAACTCTGCCATGGCGACTTGATAAGCCATCTATTAAATGCTGTGGCAGGGTCATTAATCCCATTAACTCACTGCACCCTTATATTTGTATTTATCGTCGTTATCATCCTGCTACGTTCCGCCATCCTGCGAGAATGAGTGTCGCTATATTGGTATCGAGCGCTGTCTCCCTTCCGGCAGCGTCGCTCCCAGTTACGAGTTACGGATTCCTCTTGCTCAGTCGCAGTCGTCAGCCGCCTATCCCAGCGTGTGTGATGCGTGTGAGGGGGATGGCGCCCGCCGCCCACGACTGTGTCCACTGCCGTGTCGCCTGCTATTCAGTTCGAGCGGGGTGTTTATTTGGAGTGGTGGTTGTCGGGCCTGTGACAGAGTCGCTGCACCAGTGGTGTTTGCTGATGGTGTTGTGTAACATCTGATGTGTCGTCATTAATAAGGCCTGAGTCGCTGGATATGATGTTGGTAGTGCTAGTGACCAGTAAAAAATTTCAGAAAAAAACGGCGAATAATTACGTCAACTACCTACTGTACACTTGACTACGTACTTTATTGCTGTTACATACGCACACTATCGTTTTAAGCATTTGCTTTTTCACAAGCAATCTATTCATTTTTTTTTTTTTTTTGTTGCTTGCGTCCGTGTTTGTGTATGTGTTGACGGTAACGTGACCGTGTCGCCTGCCCCGCTGGCTGCCGCAGCCCCCTGAGCAGTATCCAGGTGCTCGTCCCGGGTGCCGGCCTCGGCAGGCTGGCCTTCGAGATCGCCAAGCTCGGATACGCCTGCCAGGGTAACGAGTTCGCCCTCTTCATGCTGTTCGCCTCCAACTTTGTGCTGAACCGGTGAGCACAGCCGTCGGTCAGCCGGGCAGTCGCTGACTATGAAATGTGATAAGCACCGTGACATTTGAAGGATATTGAGGTAATGGTTTAAAATAAAATCGCTTGGGGTGCCGCACCTAATTATTTTGAAGCACAATAGTTATTGTGGTTTATTGATGAATTTTGATCACTAACATCTTGCGATAAGAGATCAAACAAGCAAGCATACTAGGTTTCCCATTCTGATGCTTCTTTTATATCGGAAATACTTTCTTTAAAATGGTTTTTCGAGATCATTATAATATTTAGGAAATCGATACGATAAATCGATACGATAAAGAAAGAGTAAAGCTATCTTTCTAGTTGAGGTTTATTTGCCATTGGGTCTACAGTGCAGGGATATTTCTATCTCGCACTCCTCTGAGATGCAAAGATAAGAATTTGTTATCTCTGCATCTCTCTGAGATGCAAAGATAAGGTCTCGAGGGTTCATAGCCAAAAATCAAGAGTTCAAGTGATGATGGGTCAATAACCGAACGGCATTTTTAATGGCTGTTTTTGTATGAAACTTACGAAATAAAAACAAACTACTCTAAATCTTTTTTTTTTTTACATAGATAAATACATTTGATGAGCTGTCGGCGCGCCCTAAAGCCCCAATAAACAAACAAACAAACGATGAATACATTTAAATATAATATTTAATTAATTAAGAATAAACCTCAACATAGAAAGATATAGGATTCCTCATGGCTCACTCGTGGAAGATCGGATATCTTTTCCTCGCGTGTTACAGAAAAACCTCGCTCCTTCGTCGCTCGGTTTTTCAGTAACCCGCTTGGAAAAGATATCCTTATCTTCCACTCTGAGCCATGAAGAATCCTCTATATCCTTCGTGTCGTCTGCCTAGCTTGCTGGAACTAAAAAGCTCTAACTTTCTACCGCTGATCCCCGTCTGAGTGAGTCTCCAATTCGGCAGACTCTGTCTCTGGTTCCCGCTCCAGTATGTGTCTGGTCGACTGTGGGAGCCGCTGACGACTGCCCACCCCTCTGTCAGGTGTCGGGGTACGCACCTGTACCGGCTGCACCCGTGGTGTACCACCCACGCCAACCACCTGTCTCCCGAGCACCAGGCAGCGGCCGTCACCTTCCCCGACACGGACCCCTCGCAGATGCCGGCCGACGCTCTCTTCTCGATGGCTGCCGGAGACTTTCTGGAGGTGAGTCATGCGTGTTCTGAGTGGGGCTGATGGTGACCGGTCACCATGATTGGTGCAGTGGAATAGAGACACGTCTGACAGTGTGCTGATGTGGGGCTGAGCTGATTGGGAACTGGTTGGTAGGGGGAGACCTGACCTCTAGAGGGATGGATGACTGTCAATCATATGGCATGACTTAAACTTATCCTTTGCCTTGCGCTTTGTAAGTTGTGTTAGTGACATAATCGTCTCCGAAGGACTGTCTTGCTGTTCAGTGTTCTGGTACTGTATGGAAAGCTAACCAGTAAATTATAATGCGTCACTCCCTCGACATAGCTATTGGGTCTCGCGCTTTACTGACTAGATCCTCCGCTCTCCGACAGGAGTACTGCACGGAACCGGCCCAGTGCCCCTGTGGCCCGGTGCCACGGAACCGCTAGTGGCTGTTTGGCTCCCTCGGTGTTTTATATGTCTCACGCTGCACTCACTCAGTTCCTCTCTCGTAGGTGTACACGGAGCCGGCCCTGTGGCTCTGTGTGACTCCCTCGGTGTGGTATATGTCTCGCGCTGCGCTCACTCAGTTTCTCTCCCTCAGGTGTACACAGAGCCGGCCCAGTGGCACTGTGTGGCCACCTGTTTCTTCATTGACTGCGCCAGCAACATCGTACAGTTCATCGAGACCATCTACAGCATCTTGCGGCCCGGTAAGCTGATGACCGCCACCGCCCACTGCGCTGTCCAACGTCCGTGTTGAACGGGTCTGTCGAGATACCTAATTAATCGTCAATTATGTACTCAGGCTGCTGCTTGTTTGCTCATGAGCCTGTGCCGTGTCGGAGTGCGTCGAATCGTGGCAAAAAGAGGATTTTTCGCTTTTGTCGTTTTTTTTCTCATGCCGCACTTAGTTCACAGGAAGACATTAAAGTTTTATATGTTATCGATTTTGAAACTTGTTTGGCAACGTCCCGTGTACGCCCCTGATTGAATGCGATTTGCTGCGTTATGACGCCTACAAGCTGAGTTCGTGGAAAGAAACGAGCAGCTCCGACAGTAGCCCCCCCCCCCCTCATCGCGACTGGTTCCGTCGATGTACTCGTACAATAGTCTACTAGCGCCAGTGCCTTCCCCGTCCGAACCGCGGTGTCGTGCACGCAACGCGACAAATACCCGGAAAATGGCGCCTGCGCCAGCCGCTGGCAGGAAAGTTGTTACTAACGCTGGCGTCCGGTGGCCACGGCGCCTGTTGTCTTTGTGGCTGCACTGATGGACCGTTTGTGACGCCGTACGCGCCGTCAGACAGGCTCCTTTGCACACTGCAGTGTACGATGTAGTATGCCTCTATCAGGCAAATAAGCTGTTTGTACCCTCAGACCTGATCTGACCTGACCTGACCTGCCCCTTGTCACCACAGGACTGGTGTTTGGATCAACATGGGCCCGCTGCTGTACCACTACTCTGACCTGACCTGACCTGACCTGACCTGACCTGTCACTGCAGGTGGTGTGTGGATCAACATGGGCCCGCTGCTGTACCACTACTCTGACCTGACCTGACCTGACCTGCCCACAGGTGGCGTGTGGATCAACATGGGCCCGCTGCTCTACCACTACTCTGATATGCCCAGTGAGGAGAGCATTGAACCCACCTACCAGCACCTGCGGAAAATCATCACGGCCGTCGGCTTTACGTTCGAGGTGGGTTAACTGGCGACAGCGGTCCCTAGCCTTCCGCCCAGCCGCTTGCACTAGGGAGATTGCGGCGTCACACCCTTTCGAAAATATATGTGCATGCGAAGGATTGGTGAATTGTATTCTTTAGCTCTCCACCATCGATATTGATTAAATTGATAAACGTCAGTCTTCCTATAATTGGGGGAATAATGACATTTCATTGCCCGCCAGCTGCGTGTTATATCCATTCATTACGTGTTCTGAACGCGGACGGTGACGGGCTAGGTTCGGGGAAACGGCGGAAATATCCTCCAGTGACTCGACACAGCACTTATTTATAAACGGGGGTGATTGTTTGACGTCACCCACAATTAGGGCACTGGGAGCTAGGACTCATGGCCCGCGTCTCGCTGCACTCCCGCCCCCTCCCTTCCCATGAGTCCTGCCCCATTCCTGAAGTTCTCTTGTCCCCAGTCGTCTTCCCCGCTAACCCCTTCCTCTGGCACCCACTCCGCTGAGACCCGTTCCTCCCAACGTGGCCGCCCTGCTGACACCAACACCCCCTCCTCTCACCGGCAGAAAGAGGAGCAGGGTGTGCAGACGGCCTACTGCCAGAACCAGGACAGTATGCTCCACTGGAGCTACAACTCAGTCTTCTTTGTCTGCAAAAAGCCGAGCTGAGGGGCGCCGGTCGCGGTAGCGCCTCCCGATTGTGTGCGTGTGTGTACCTGCCGCCTACTCCGCGTTTGACCCCGCCCCGCCGCCGCTGCCGGGTTGTACTCGCTGGTCTGAGCACAGGCTGCTGTGTACTCGGACTGGACCTGAATCTATACCTCAGGCCACGACCCCGGCGCTCGCGTGTGACAGCGCCGGCGCCCAGTACGGGGTCTGACCGAACACAATGTGATATCTCAGCGCAGATCCGACTGGCCCGAAAGTCATTTGGAATCGTTTTACCTTTTGTATCCTAGCGTGTTTTGAGCAGCTGGGGCTCTGAGCGCCAGAAGTGGTTAGTCGGCCCATCGCCGACCGTGTATAGGACAAAACTGTGGAGAATGTATCTCCTATATTGGGAGAAATAAATCGCAATGAAATGTTGCATGTTTAATCGCCGGTTGCTTCAGTAGTAGCAAAGTTATGCTGTGGGCATACTAACAGGGTGGGTGTAAGACGCAAACTGTTTTCAAAACGGAAATCTATAAGACGCGTCTCGCACCGCAGATGCAAGAAGAACGTGGATGTTCCGAAAGAGCGCCTGCGTGTACCCAACATGATTGTGTATTGATTTTGACGTTGACTGCTTGGTGGCAAAGACCGCAGGCAAAGGCCGGCTAGTTGGCAAAAGGACACCGCAGACAGACTGGCAAACTGACAGCACAGTTTATTAATGGTTACATGTCAGAGAACACGAACACACGTAAGTGCCATCGACACCGGGTCGCGCGCGCGGGACATGCAATGGTTTAAAGCAGAAATTTGTCCACGTCGGGGCTGGTATTCACAATAACTCGCAGTCGGCCGCGACTAGATACGGTTAAAACCATGGGGATAAATATACAGCCGGGGTCTGGTGAGCACAACCCCTGAAAAAACGAGGCTGGAAGATCTCGGCGGCCGTCGGCTGCGTCCCGCCCTCTTATTACAGCGCTGAGCCGGGGACAGCAGTCGAAGAAAAAAAATCCTACACGAGAGGACAGCGGCAGTGCGGTCATCTACGAGCGCAACATCGAGCCGACATTCAGATCCACAGCACTACAGCAGTTCGGGCAAGAGTCGGCCGCCTCCGTCCGGCCGGCGCGGCCTCTAACACAGACTAACAGATCGGCCCCCGGTCTGGGCCCGGGGGGGGGGGGCGGTACCCACGCCGCCGCCGCCGCCTACACAAACACCTTGGCGAGCGCGTCGGCGCCGCCGGACGCGATGTACGGCTTGGTCGGGTGGAAGCCGACACAGTGGATGCTCTCGTCGCTCTTTTTGCGGTGCGCGGTGATCTCCTGGACGCACTGTTTGGTCTCCAGGTTCCAGAGGCGCACGCTGCAGTCGTGGCTGCCCGAGAGCAGGTAGAGGCCGTGGGGGTCAACGGCCAGGCTGGTGACGGCGTCCTGGTGCGCCACCATCGCCTGCACCACCTTGCCGGTGACGTTATCGTAGAAGCGGATGTGGCGGTCCCCGTGGGCGGCCACCGTCACCGGCATGGTGGGGTGCGAGACCACGCAGTTGACCTGGTCGCGCGGCGCGCCGCCCTCCACGTTCTGGTTGGATTCGAGCTGCATCACCACCTTGGAGGTCTCCAGGTCGTAGACGGCGCAGCGGCCGCTGGTGTAGGCCGCCACCATGTGGCTGCAGTCCTCGTGCACAAAGTCCACCGAGCTGGGCACGCCCATGGCCGGCTCGGCGGCGTACGACTGCAGCAGCGGCGCCTTGCTGCCGGGACTCCACAGCTTCACGGTGCCGTCGGCCGAGCACGAGAGCAGCTGCGGCTTCTGCGTGTGGAACGCCAGGCCCCAGACGGCGTCCGTGTGGCCGCTCAGCGTCAGACTGAGCACGTCCGGGTCGTACGCGTCGTACGGGTCGATGTTGGAGTTGGGCACGTTCCAGACGCGCACAGTGCCGTCCACGCCGCCCGAGTAGCACTGCTCACCGGTCGGGTTCATGCAGGTGGCCAGCACGGCGCCCTGGTGGCCGCGGAACGTGTACACTGGCTCCACGTCCAGGAAGGCCGACTTCTTGCCGGCGATGGTGCGCATCAGGTTCCACAGCTTCAGCGTGTGGTCCTCACTGGCAGTGATCAGCGCCGGCTCGATGGGGTGGAACGCCAGCGCTCTCACGCCGTCAAAGTGCGAGCGCAGCGTGTACTTTGCGTTCCACATCTTTGAGTAAGCCTCTTTGGAGGTGCCTGACTCATACATGCCCTCAGCCTCATTTGTCACTGTGAGCTGAGCCAGCTCACCCAGTCCCATCTCCTCCAAGGACTCGTCATTGACTTCCATTCCATAATGGGCTGAGTTCATCCTCATGCCTGGCTTCTGGAGGCTTGGATCCTTGCTTGCTGCTAATCTCATAGCACTGTTCTCATCCCATGGGTTCACCATAGACATGTTCCCAAAGTTGAAGTCCAGTGATTTCAGAGCCATTGCCATGTTTGAGGAATCTCTTTCATCATCTCCAAGAGATTTCCCTTGTTTTCCTGTGTTGATTTCTTCACTCTTCCAGTCTTCCTCATCTTCATCTCCATCATCAACAGGAACACCCCCATCAGGGTTCAGAAAGTGACAGTTCGCTAGCACAGCCTGTTCTGCCTCTCTCAACATATCCTCTGCTAAAAGACCAGCCTGATTCTGGCTTGCAACTTTAGCTTGGACATCACTTTTTGATGCCACGGGATCAATACTCTGTGCTGGTACTCCATCTTTGTTTTCCTTCAGCCCAAGCAATGATCGTACTCTGTTTGATCTCACATCAATCACTGTGTCTGTATAGCCAATCTCATGCAGATACTGTCTAAGTAGCTGCCGCCCCTGCCGCCATGATATATCACTGCTGGCAATTATCAGCTGATCTGCTTCACCAGCATCCTCCTGTGCTTCATCCAGTTCAGCATCCTTCAGGTCCCCCTGTGATAGATCTGTGCCGTACTTGAGCTTGTGGAACCGTGCGCGCTCCTGTTTCAGAGCATGTTCAAGCATCTTGATTCTCCTGACCAAGTCATTTTTTAAGTTTTCTTGGCCTTTCCTCTCACCTTGAAGGAATGCAATTTTGGCCTCCAATTCTGCCCTTTCAACATCCCACTTGGATCTCTCTAGCTCAAACTTTGCCCACTCATGTTGAATAAAATGAAGAATCCCTGGCACGGAGTAAGCATCTCTTGGATTGACTTCCTGCTTTGCACCCATGGCCATTGCAACACCTAAATTGTTTGCTTGTCCATTGTGATTCTGGATCGACATATCCGGCTCGTTCGTAATGGTCATGACCTAACGCGCAGTAAATGTAAAGTTACATGATTTTTAAAACCACGATAAATTGCGGACACTATAGCGAGTAAATACAAGCCTTTCCGATAGTGTACACGGGACTCAGGCCACAAAATCGTAAAAACAAAGCACACAAACACTTCTCATTTGCCTCCTCTTCTTCTCTCAGACTCCGATGTACGAATTCAAGGTTTACGAAAATGCTAACCAATTGCGACCCTTTAAGCTTGTTTAAAAAGATTAATGACGTATTTTACAAATTTGGTCTAAATGTTTCAAAACAAAGCGTAAAAGAGCTTGTAAAACTTCATTTTACAAATAATTAACGTTCAAATCATAGACCTAAAGATTTAAATGATGAAAGAGTTAAATGATGTGAATATATTCTATTTGGAAAAATACGTCATTATAACGCGGTTTATCGAGAATAAGAACCGTTAGTTTGCTGCAGTTTTTCTTCCTTGCACAACTATTTTGCTGCTATTCTTGGTAAGCAAAATTGCTCTCAGCCAGCAGGACTTGATTGGTTGCTCAGTTACATAGCGTTGCCTCTTGTCATGTTAATATAAGCGAAAATGCACCAGCGAAAAAAAAATGATGGCAATCCAAATCATTTATCGCACCTCTATAATGGCAAAGGTGTGAATTTACATCTTTGGTGAATTGAGTCTTTTACCAAGTCTAATGCTGCGCAGAATAAGCTCAATTTCCTTATCACTGCAGAATTAATTACACTAATGCATATGAAACCGAGAACGCATGGCGGGCAGTTGCGCATCGTTTATCTAATTCTAATTAGCCTTATCCGTCCCCAGGTCGAATAGATACAATCTCAGTAGCTTGATCATTGCCAAGAATAAACGCAGGATTGAATGTTCATGTGTCTATTGGTGAAAAGAGCACGATACAGTACGCAAATAAGCGAGTGAGCAGTGCATATGACAGGCGACAGGCGAAGCGGACACCAGCAAGCGAGCCGGGTCCTCACAGAGGCTACTGTAAGCAAACACGCAGCGCAGCATCGGTAACAGCCGATGAACGCTCGTCGCAAACGTCGGTCGATGTCGCAATGCGGCTCAGCCAGAAAACGTGTCGTGCATCACCTTACACTGTCTACAAGCTGATTCTATGACATTTTCGCTATTCTAATGAGTTGGTGACGCGAAATGGCAAAAATGAAATAATACTGACACGCAGAAAAAAATCAGAACTATTTTACACAGCACGAGATATTTGTGAGCGCATTTCATACTGGCATTTAGATGATCATACTTGTCAACAATGTCTTCGTACAAAAGAATCATTGTGAAGTAACGTCACAGGGCTCCAGGTTGAGCATTCAACGAAACAATGTCTTTGGCCAATCGGACATTTGTACATCATCAAACTGTTAGTCTAATTGATTCCTTACGACAATCAAAACGGCAAGATCTTTACACCACAAAGTACGTAAGGACCTGAGACAATCATGTATCTGCAAGTACAAACTGCCAAAACAAAGGCATCTCAGACGAAAACAAAATGCTTCCAATGGGATGCGTCAAGCGATACCAGCCTTGATAAAACGCTTGTCAAAGACCGATTGGTTGCCAAAGTCAGACTTCAGAGCATTCAACAGAATCAAGGAACATTATTGAATTGGTACAGTATTCTTCCGATAGCTTCCCACAAGAATAAAAGTGAAAAACTTTGGAGCCCCTATTGCCCCACATCTACAGCAGTTGCTGCCGCAGCAACACACGAGAAGTGCCAACTTAACTTACCAAGCAAATAAGGCGCTATAAAGCATGCCATGCGACGCGGACTCAACCTTCCTCAGGGAGTCTCGCTAAATGCAGAGCGATAGCGGCAGAAGGCGAAACACGGAGATCACCTGCGCGCTGGCAGGAGTTGCCGCGAACTTGACATCCATCAGACTGCAACTTATCGAGCCACAGGACTAGGGACTGGACAAACGTATAACGTACCGAAACAACGTCCAAAACAGCAAGTAATTTGAAATCATACACACCTCACATGCCGAGTAATGACAAGTATTACAAAACGAGTGCCATTCAGCAATGTCCTGACGTTTTAGAAACCATTCTGATTCAGAGTTAGATCTGAGGCGGATGAGATTTCGGCTCGGCGCCGGGCGCCGGTGTCACAGTCTGAGACAGCTCCCCGTCTCAGAGGGCCGTCCCAGTGTCGCCTCAGAGCCGGAACGAGCGGCGGCCCACCGTCTCTGCCAGCCGGTGCAGCTCGCGGCCGGAGCGCTCTGCGCGCGCCGCGTCGCTGCGCAGCCGGCCCGTGGGGCTGTGGAAGCCGTCAGAGGGCGGCGCCCAGGCCGGTCCGAGCGCGCGCCGCTGGCCCGGCGACGGCCCGCTGTGCGGCGCGCGGGCCTTGGGCCGCGGGGACGGCGCCGCGCCAGTGTAATTGGCCACGTTCTGAAGAACCCGACGGCTGAAACCGCCACAAGATAGCGGGTAATATGGGTGCAAAAGGAACACCATACAGAATGGTAAACAATAAAAACCTGTAGTAATTCGTATTCGTTTCGGGCTACACTGAGGTAAAAATTGTTAAAAACCAGTGTAGCCGAAACAGTGTAGTGTAGTGTAGCAGTGTAAACGAAACACAAAAACTCAGTGTAGCCCGAAACGAATACGAATTACTATCATTTACCTGAGGAAGATTAGAAATGACACTTCGTCAATACCTAATAAAAACCTGCTTCCACTTGCCATGAGACAATTCATCCTAAATTTAAAATTTTTGCTCGTGTCAGTCGTAGACACTGGCCATTAGCAAGCTAACTAGCCCCACGGCAATGCAAATGGTGCGATCATAACACATCGACAAGAGAGCGTGTTTGTATACCCCAGTGATCTGGGCACGCTTCCCCCTCCCCTCCCCCCCCCCGGCCCTGCCTCCAATGCGGTCTCTGGACCAGTGGTCAGGACTCCCCAAAGCTCATCGAAAGTCAACTTTTTAGAATTCCATAGTAGTTCGCTCATAAATTGTTGGGTGATTGCCATATCATGAAAAAGGCATTCGATAAACCACCAACTGATGCCCAGTCCCTCCAGAGCTTAGAAACCTACGGTGAGGGTGATTTAACGCGTCAGCCTTTGATTTTTGAACACCCCGATGATATTCCGCGAAATCGCGAAACCATGTCACACGAAATCATTTGGCACACCTTATGCTATTAATATTCGACAGAGCGGCTGTTGTCGGCACTAACCGTCTCGGCGGTGGCTTGGGCACGGGCGGCGTCACCTCCAGCGCCCCGTTGGCACAGCCGGCACGCTCTGCCGGCGTCTCGATGCCGAACGGCGAGTAGAGCCGCGCCGCCGGGCTGGCGCGGAGACGTGAGCGGCGGCGCGGGCTGCCCGGGGACGGTGTGAACGGAGAGTTGGTCAGCCGGTACCGGCGCCGGGTGGAGCGGCGCAGACGCTGCGGGGCGGCCAGGAGGGGTCAGACGCTGAGGGACGGCCGGGAGGCGAGGTCAGCCGGTACCGGCGCCGGGTGGAGCGGCGCAGACGCTGCGGAGCGGCCGGGAGGGGTCAGATGCTGGGGCAGGAGGTGTCAGACAGACAGGCAGCTGCAGGGTCAGAAAGAGTCCAATTAGACTTATTGCTGTGGTGATTGGCATATGACAAATGAAGAGGCAGTCTCTATTGCAGAATGATGAGTGGTGACTTGTTAAGTAGTTGTGACAACTGACAGTAAGCAGATACCTACTTCATTCTTCAATGCCTAACTTTATGGTTTATCATACTCACTTGAGACAGCATATCAAAAGTAGAAGCTACTTCATGAAATGCTCTTTGTACTTTCTTCTGGCCCTGCCTCAAGGCCTGTTGTGGTTGAGTGTTCTTGATGGAAGAAATTGATGGCAGTCTCATATTGAACAGACCACTCATTGATCTTGATTCTGTAGACTGATTTGTTGAGATGGCCACAGATGTTGCAGAGAAGGCAAATCTTTGTTCCAGACACTGTCTTGTGGAGTGAGTTGCTTGGGGCTCAGAATATTGTCTTCTCAAAATCCAAGGAACTGGCTCCGCCTGAGTTGACATGTTCTCCAGTTGGGTTGTTCGCTGCATGGTTACAGCTCAGTTACATAAAATAAATCTGAAAAAGAAGTAAAACTATTTTTCAAAAATGTGTTCATTTACCTTTGCATGGCAGCAATAGAAGAGGAACCAGGGCAGGGTCAGGGGACCGCACTGCTCTGGCTTGGGTGGAATCTGAAAACAGGGCGTGTCATGTGACTGCAAAGCAAATCTCCTCATCCCGCTGCCTTCCATAGGCTTATTGTCACATGATCTGTGTAAGAGTATTTCAAGAGCCTAAATAAAGTTGCCTCAGGCACCCTGTTTTCAGATTCCACCCTGTCTTGGAACTGAATTAGTTGGTAACTTCAAGGCCATTTGTCGAATCACTTGAGCTATGATAAGTAAAATTTTAATTTGTACTGCTAGTATAAAATAACCCAACATGATGTCCAGTGATCCTCTTTAGATTCAAATTCAAACAAAGAGATAACATCAATAAACATATTGTCCCAAGTGGGTTACCATGAATGGCCGTTCCTGAACGTAAAGTAAGACATTTTATCAGCGCATCGGGCTAATCTACAAGCAATCACCTCCCCCGAACCCTCGAATTCGAATCACCGTTCAAAACTGTTTCCGTTTCAAATTTCCCACGCCCGTCTCCCATTTCGTAAAGAGGAGTAAATAATATTGTTCTGCAGGGTCCTGTCACTCTTAAACGTAGCATTTGATTTGTTTAAAGATGACCTTGAGCAGCAACGCAGGTTAGTGATTGGCTGCTGACGCTTTTATCGGGCCACGTGCAGAACTGTTTTTGCAAAGAATGCGCTTTTAATGCCGCATTCTTGCTTTACTACGTGGCTATAGGCACAGCCGGCACAGCTATAGGGTAAAGAGAAATTATAAACATTTTGATACTGGTGGCCTACGGTTGGGTTATATAGGTCGTTTAAAGATTATTGTCAGCTATTTCGTACTTCTGAATGAGGTTTTCATACTAGCTGGTCCATTTTATGAGCACATTCGTTTATACTTTATATGACTTGTCTATTGAATCTTGCTTTCAGCATTATTCCTGGGCTTTGCTTTTATTGATTTGCAGCTATTCGTTTTATATTTTGACTTAGCATGTCTCTGGACACCTCTTTCATCAAGGACTGTATGACTCAAAATATTGGATAACAAGCCCTACCTTATCAATTGAAGTGTGGCTCGAGTCGCACCATAATTAGCTGGCTGAAGAGGCCAGGGCTACTATGCAGTAGGGTGGACGGCAAAAACCAGGCACCCAGAGGGCATGAGATATGGCACACTAGCATGTCCATTCACATGACCACTAAGGTTTTCCCTCTACCTAAGCCTTCCACGGTTAAGTCAAAATCTCGGTCACATGCTCTGCGACCTGCGTAAGCTACTTTCAAGAGCCTTGATCAAAACACTCCAGGCGCCCTGTATTCACCATTCACCCACAGTAGAGCCTGATCAGGGTTTACTCCTTAGTCTATACCTTTATTATGCAAAACTGTTCCAATAATTCAATTACAGATTCACGAAGAGTTAAGCATACCAGAGTTCCAAATAGATGTCAGTAATAGGTATTTAAGGTAACAAGGTGATTGTGCAATTGAGACACTGAAATCACTTTGCTTTCAACTTCACCTTTCAATCATCTTTCTGTCTCTCCAACATTCATGCTACCTTAATTATTAAAGAAAAAATTAAAAGGAAGTCAGCATTTATATTTTGGATTATTTTTCATACCAATACTTTTTTACATGTAGGCACTATCTTGAACTTACAGATTGAAATGTCAGCACTCCTGATCACCTGGTTTCTGATCAAAATTCAGGATGTAATGGCTAATGAGCTACCTACATGTTTGAGAGTGCTTTTGGGTTTTTGCTTCCTGTCCCAGTGGCCAGTGCCTGTGAAAAAGTCAACATACCCATTGTTTGTCAAAATTATAATTCATCATAATGGATAACCATCATCTTTAGTTGTCTTGGGACTGTGGGTACCTACCTATCTTACTCTTAGTTCAGTGATATAGAGAAGTTCTTAGCCAAAGCTCAGAACATTATATTAATCCCTCTATAGATAACAATTACTGAATAACAACCATGGATTAAAACATATTCTTGGGACTAAGTAATTGGATCTGTGTTGTTACCACCTTTCTACCATTACTTACAGGGTGTCCTAAAATTAATGTCACACCCTCCCACTCTGCCTTCATTTTGCCTTCTACTGCGCAATATCAATATAATTTCGCCGGTACTGCGCTCCCTCTACCATATTGGCTACATTATAGTCACGTAACCTTCGAATTTCTGTGACCCTGATCGGTCAAAGGATGTACGGAGGTCATTTCCGGGGCGGTACCCAGCGCGCGCGGACCAGGTGTCCAGGATGGCTAAACTGCAGAGCAAATCGTCCCGCAGCGGGGCAGTCGGCATGGTTGCCGGTGGCATGACCCACGGTCAGGTCGCCGAGGTGCTGGGCATGAGTTGCCGCACGATTTGGCGCTGGTTATCACGCGACAGAAACGGATAGACGCCTGGAAACAAGCTAGGTCGCGGCAGGAAGATCTCCGCCAGCGCAGATCCTCATCGCGAAGTCCAGAACTAATGACGGGCTGAATCGCGATTCCGACCAAACAGAATCGCGATCCCGACCAAACATGATCTCGAAAAACATGTCATAGGTCAAAGTCATCTGGGTCAGGGTCATGAAATTTTCAGGGTAGGTGTAAAATTGATAGCTCGAGGGCACTTGAAATTTCGTCGCGATCGGCTACCTTTGGCGCGAGATATTCGCGAAAAACCGAGGGGGAAGTCCATTCAGCACCCTACTCCCCCCCCCCCCCCATCTGGCAGTGCGAGGGTTAACTTACTCAAGGGCAGATAAAAAGGAAGAAGGACAGTTACAATTGCAGTCATTATGTTGCTCAATGACTATACGTATGCATCATCTATTTGATTATAGGCTTTTCAGGGCTGACTTGATGTTATGATATTGCTATTTTCATGATTGTGAATCCTGATGTGCGTGTCTGCGGTTTTCTGGATTTAATTTGCAAATGAGTATGTGTACCTACTGCTGTGTTACAGAGAGAAGTCAGCTGATATCGGCTTAGATTGTAAGTCAATGTCAACATAAGAGTGTTCTTGGAGATGGCTGCAGGTGCCCACAGCTGGGAAGGTAAGACAAAAAAATCGATTATTCTTCCATTTCCATTGGTACTGCACATTATAAGAGTCAATGTTCATTTTAGAATGCATAATCATACCTGCATTTTGCAATATTATATGGCATTTAAGAGTGGTCAAGACAAATTTTACCCCTATAAGTGTTTTGGATCGGAAGGAGTTTAAAAGCAACTGTTATCCTTGTATCTTGTGGTATTGTTCTTATCATTCTTTTCAAATGTTCGCAAGCTCATGTTGTTGCCTGTGTAGATTTCACGGCACCTCTGCCACATTTAGAGTCCAGGGAATATGTAATGTGTTTGACTTTGGTTTGACTGCTGTCCGACCTATCCCCAGACCTGCGGAAGCAGGCCAGGCAGGTGGAGAATGAGCTGGACGTTAAACTGGTGGCCTACAGCAAGCTGGGGGCGGGCTATGCCAGTGCGCCATCTGTGGTGCCCGGGTGAGTGTCAAGCCAAGGTGTTTGTTGAAGCTGCGACTATCTTTTAGTACGCAGGATGTGCCCATAGGTGCATGGTATGCCTATCTATCTCTGCGTAACAACGTAACAACGATTTAACAACGATTTAAATGGTCAATGGTCACTTAACCCGCGCCCGGCTGGGGGTCCTGGATTTCCACGCCCTGCTGGGGGGGGGGTGTTTGAACACCCCCCCCCCCCCCTCCTTGTAACTCGGCTCCTGGGCCACGTAGCGATACGCGGAAGGCGGCGTTCGAAAGAGCGTAAAAAATAATGACGAAATCACTTCGGTCAATTTTTTGGTCAGGTCAAAGGTCAGGTCACCAGAGGTCCTTGAATGCAAAATTTCGCCGATTTCCAGGTCCAATGTCGAAAAGTTCCAAGAAGCCAATGCATAACTCGGGAACCAATAGAGCTACAGCGCCGCGGAAAAGCGCATTCGATAGCCCTATTAACGCCCTTTCTGAGTAATTCTCTCAGATTTGACCTAACGTCAACGGTTTTGCCTGCAGAGGGAAAAAACTGCAAAAATAGCCGATTTTTTTCGGAAACAGTTTTTCTGCAATAACTTTTGACCCAAGCCTTGTACGAGCTTACTTTTACCGGCATCGTGTTCCTCTCGTCAAGACGCATCGAATGAACTATAACTTGACCTTGAAAGGTCAACTTGAAAATTTGACCTCAGGTCAAGGTCATGACCTGACCGGAAAGGTTCATGTTGCATATCAGTCGATCCGTATCGTCGAGCTGAACACATACAAGGCGTTTTCATCGCTCTAGCATGCCTCTATCAAAAGTTATTTGCGAAAAACTGTTAGATACCATTCGTGACCTAAGATGACCTCAGGGCATAAACAGGGGTCACGGACACCATTTTCATGTTCAGTGTGTCTAAACCACTTGTAATTCGGTGTTTGGGAGTGTTTATAATGCCTTTCGTCCAAAAGAGACGCATTTCAATTTTCTCCCATTGACTTATAATGGCCCAGCCAGCAATTTTGCTCCGGGCCCAAGCAGGCTCAAGTGCGGATTGCCCGAGATTTTAAGTCGGGCTAAAGTCGGCTAGGGCTTGGGCTAAAGTCGGCGTATGACACAAAAACGCCGACTAAAGCCCATGCTCTGCCGGAGGTATGCCCGCTCTGCGAGCTCCGGACAGCCGTATTTTAGCCCTAGTTAAGCGACGATTGGCGTTAGCCCGATTTAAGCCCGAGCAGGAATCCATTTATATAATGGAGGTTACTCTGGGCCCGAGCGGGCTGAACTCCGGCAAGCCCACTCTGTGTGCCCTGTCTATCCCGACTTAAGCCATAGAAGTGAATGGGGTTTATACATTGCAAACTGCTGTGGCTTTGCTCGGGTTCGGCTCGAGTGACGGCTCCTGTTTTCTCAAGTCTCGACTTGACTTCATCTTGCTTTTGCTTCACACTGGATCAAGTAGCAAGGAGCAGCCAATGCACTTTCAGCAGGTTGTGCGGTTACAATGCATATTCAAAATTGTTACGGTCACTCATATACTCTGTTAACCGGTCATCGAGCATTGCGAAAGGAAAGTACCTAGTGGTTGACTTTGATTTAATGTATATTTCAAACGACTACAGACACGTCAAATGAAACAAAAATACATGAAACAGTGGACTGCAAACTGCAGCAATATTAAGGCATGAGTCATGAAAAGCGCCATCAAAACTATAAAACAATCACAAGGCCCGCTAGCCTCCCTCTCCGTTCATAATACTTAGTTGAACACCCAACCGAAAGCATAAAGTAAGGACAGCAAGTAATCGCTCATAAGACATAAAGCAATTAGCAAACAATCGTTTATAAGGAACTTCACTCTGGTGAATGAGAGCTTTGTAGGCGTCTAGCTCCTCCACACACACACACATCTGCAGTAGATGGTCGGCCAGCTTTCGGTGCAGTTTCCATATACATATGTAGGTAGGTGTACCTTCTTAACTATAGGTAAGCAGACAGTTTCCGCTAAACCACTTGGCGAGGGCGACTGCGGCGTCTACCCGATCCTGGTTTGTATAACTATTCATTTTTTGAACCATTTGCTCTAATGGTACGCACCTGAAAAAGAGATTAATTGGTTTAATTTACATTGCATGTTTGCTTGAAAAATAACTTATTGTTGCATTTATACTGTAAAAGCACTTCTCATTGATCCGTATATAAAATGTTCATTCGATGTTCAACGCGGACGGAGAATGAGCGTGCTCGGTGATAAGTAGATAAATATTTGTGTTTTGTATTTCATTTTCCTGGTCCAGAAGTGCTGGTATTTCACAAAGATATAAAGGCACGGAATGCGGCTTTTCTGAGCGAGGGTATAAGTCGCCAGGCTGAACAGCTATTCAGCTTCATGTTTGATGGTGTGAAACTCAGTCAAAATCATGACGTTTACATACGATCAAGCGCACCATTCAATACACTTAACTACCGTAAAACTCCATGCCAGTCCACTTGATAAGAGCAGTGAGCACTATCCCTTCTTCGCGCTGCCACACGCGCCCAAACATCAACCACCAAATGCCCCAACACCGGTGTGTCGTTTCGTCGCACAGCGCGCAGACTGTTACAAACGCTGCACATGATTGGCGCAGAACTGCGCATGCGCGAACAGCCGAACAAGTATGGCTAAGCTCCGGCTTTACTCCAGTTAGCCGAAGGACACAGCCAGCTTGATCAGCCCGCGCTCCGCCCAAGTTAAGCCTGTTTTGGATGCGCGGGCAGATGTCGGGCTGAGCTACTGCTTTCCGCACGTGGGCATAGCTGCGGCATGCCCCAGCTCAGCCCTAGTAAAAAATACATTGTTTTTGATCAAAGTGGGCAAACCCAAGCTAAGCCCAAGCTGCCCGACGTTTGCCACAGTTCAGCCCAAGCGAATTGCTGGCTGGGGGGAGGTCGCAAAATTGACCTGACCTTAGGTCATCGATATCAAAATTCTGAGATATACATTTTGTACATGCTATTGCCCTTAGCAATCGCTGAAAGTTTCAAAGCGATCGGCCACTCGGTGTAGCTATGACAGACATTGAAACTTTTTATGAGGTGAGGTCACTTCAAGTGACCTGGTGACCTGACCTTGAATGACCTTGGTCTGAAATTTTCACATGTGTAGAATTGATGTATGATAAGGTGTACCAAAAACGGCGGCGCGGAGCGCCGCCGTTTTTGAAATATTCGCGAAAAACCACAAGGGGGGGGGGTGTGTTCAAGCACCCCCCCCCCCCAGCAGGGCGCGGGTTAAATGGTCACTAAATTCAGCTGAGCTATGCTGTGTAGCCTGTGTCGGAACAGAAGTGTCTGTGCCGTCTGTCCGGCATCACGGGTAGTGATGTACGCGTCTCGCGTTTGCTCCTCAGTAACCCCGTCTCCTGAGTTCCAGCCACTGTCCGGCTCTTGGCCTCTACATTTCCCGTCACCGTGGCGATATGTCGATCTCTCGCACGGCGCCCCATCCGCTGGCCATTCTGTGACTCCCCCTTCCCCTGCCTCTCCTGTGTCCACTAACAGTGTCCGGTGTCCCTTCCCTCCCGCAGCGACCAGCAACCGCTGCTCAGTGGCGACGACCAGCAGGTGGAGAAGACTGAGGCGGATATCGAAGCCTGTCTGACCAAGGTGAGCCCCGTTCGGTACAGTCATTCTATCGATATCGAGCAATGACGTATTCCTTTGGAGAGTTGCAACGTCGCCTGCAGTCCTAATGCCGCTGAGGCAATACCTATAACATTGTCACTGAAGTGGAACCTGTGCACTTTTCCGTGTCCCGGTGTTCCAATAGCAGTTTTGATGCCGATTCAAGTATTCTCCGTCTTTTTTTCTACCACTTTTACTTGTCTGCGACATCGATATAACGTGTCATCGCTCACTATAAACGAAAATAAATTTGTTCGCCCTTTTCAAAGTTGCGAGGCACTCAGTTCTCGATGTAATAGGAATTATCTGCTACTCATGAACTTGGTGTGATGAAACGGTCGCTGACATCCTGGCGCAGTCTGCGACAATTACTGGCGCTGGAGTATGCCACAAGTTTTTTTTACATCTGTGCCCGCTCACTGACCTTCCCTCGCTCACCTCCAGCTGTCGACCATCAACGAGCGTATGTGCGAGTTCTCTGCGTCGGGCGCAGCGTCGAGCGCGGCGGTGACACATACGCTGCAGCGGCACCGCGACATCCTGCAGGACTACACGCAGGAGTTTCGGCGCACCAAGACAGCGCTGGACGCCAGCCGCGACCGCCAGCAGCTGCTCGGGCGCAGCGACGACAGGTAGGGACGGTAGGACGGACCGACGGACGGGCGGGCGGACGGACGGACGGACGGACGGAAGGGAGGGGGTTGAAGGAGGAGAGGGGGAGCTGGTTACAGGGAGGGCGGCGTGGGGTCCGGGTTTGAGCTATTGTAAAGAGATTGAGAGGGCTCAATAGGATTAGATTAAAGTCAGAGTACCTGAGAACTGTGAGGTGTAGATCAGGTAGGACGGACGTTGGAGTGAGATTACGAGTAAGAAGATTTAATCGAGTAGCTCTGGTGTAAGATGACGAGGCAGGCCGGATGTCTTGAGTGTCTGAGGTATCAGAATATGTTTGGGAGGGTTTCAGTGGGCTCAATATAAGCTACTGGGTTTATAGTTTTGTATCTGGCACTCCCGCTTAACTCCCGTCGGTGTGCTCTGTGTGTTGACAGTAGCTACAAGAATGGCCGGCTCAACCGCCGACTCGACCACCTTCTCAAGGAGAATGAACACATCAGAAAGTGAGTGACGGGCGCCCTGTAAGTGTGTAGCCTGCTGGGGCTGTACAATGTGCATGATCACGCACGGCGCTGCGAATTCCTTGTTGTATTCTACAGTTCTCAGTAATATTGCTTTAATCGGCTATTCTATTAGCATTTAGTACTGAATAACACTTTGTCAGTATGACTTGTGAGTTCTCCGTTTCACTGACGTTTACTATGAAATCAGCTGAGTAGTGAGATAGGTGCACTGAGGTTTTTGCTCTCCTGTGTCCCCGTCCCTGACCTCCCCCCCCCCCCCCCCTCGTCCGTCCATCCAGCTCGGACCGACTGATTGACGAACAGATCGCCATCGCCATGGAGACGCGCGAGCACCTCGGCTCGCAGCGCGCCACCTTCAAGGCGATCCAGACACGGGTCAACGACCTGGCGCACCGGTTCCCCATGATCAACAGCCTGGTGCAGCGCATCCAGCTGCGCAAACGACGCGACTCGCTCATACTGGGCGCCGTCATCGGACTCTGCCTGATATTCTTTATCTGGTACCTGTTCGGCTGAGGTTGGTCGATGCCTGTTCGGCTGAGGCCGACAGAGCAGAGACACGGCAGAGCCTGTGGAGGTGGACAGCGTCAGAGCTCCAGAGGACGGACGGGCGGTGACATGGCCGCGCGCGTGCCTGTGGGGTGAGCTGTGTGCAGCTGCGTGCGCAGAGTGTTGGAATGCAGCTCCACCTGGTCTGTGCGGGGAGATTCGAGACGACCCGACCCGGGCACGGGCACCGTGAGTCGCAGTCGCCCAGCCGCTCGCCTGTCTGTATTATTGAGTGATAGTCCACAGTCCACGGACGTAGCGCTCGCAGAGGAACTATCAAGGCTGGGAAGGATATAACCGTGCTCAGTCGAATCCAGTGTGAATGCTGTCGATGATTTTTTTTTTCGAGCACTGTGACTTCTTGAACAGGTGAAGAAGCACATTGACTTCACCTGATACTGGAGAGTGGCGCGGGGGATGTAGGCTTATTGGTGCCGATATTCGGTCTCTACTGTAGGGGAGCCTTGTGTGGGGCGGTGGGTCTTGAAGACGCCCGTACCGATATTCGGTGTTCGCTGTACGGTAGCATTGTGTGGGGCGGAAGGACGTCTTGAAGACGCCCGTGATAAGTCTGCCAGGACGTCTGGGTGGGACAGCGATTGATGCTGCGATTAAACAGCCAATGATTGGTGCCTCGACGGGGCTGCAGTGATGATACATGGGACCGACAGTGATGATACGTGGGACCGTCAGTGATATCCCGGATTGACAACGATGCCCCAGCGGACAATGGTGCTCGCAGTGGGACACTGAACAGGGACATTCGCGACTGTTTTACAGGGGCGTCTGTGTTGGGACTGGAGGGGTATGTCGGTGGAACGGATAGCTGCTGCGCTGCCGTGGACGATAGAGTTACGGACCAAGTCATCGGTAGGGAAAATGTGTGGAGGGGCTGATATTGTCTGTGAGATAGCGGACGGCTGCTACTGGGCCAATGGCCTGCACGGATGCACGGCCGGGTGTGGCTGCAGTCTGTGAATGTCCTGCACCCACTGTCCTCGGCACCGACCGGGGTCCCGGTCAGCATCACTGCAGCACGGCAGCCCTGTCGACATTATCACACAGCCTTCTTGTGGGACTGTGCTCCCTGTGATGGATATATTCTTTATTCTGTCAAATACACAGATTATCGTAACTAGATTTTTACCCGCTTTGCTCTTCGCTAGATTTGAACGATGGCGAACAGAAGCTTAAACGGGGCAGACCAGCTGGGCTGAACCCCCACCAGGCTCGAGAATATCCCGCGCCCCGCTGGGGGTCCTGGATTTCCACGCCCTGCTGGGGGGGGGGGGGTGTTTGAACACCCCCCCCCCTTGTAACTCGGCTCCTGGGCCACGTAGCGATACGCAGAAGGCGGCGTTCGAAAGAGCGTAAAAAATAATGACGAAATCACTTCGGTCAACTTTTTGGTCAGGTCAAAGGTCAGGTCACCAGAGGTCATTGAAGGCAAAATTTCGCCGATTTCCAGGTCGAATGTCGAAAATTTCCAAGAAGCTAACGCATAACTCGGGAACCAATAGAGCTACAGCGCCGTGGAAAAGTGCATTCGATAGCCCTATTAACGCCCTTTCTGAGTAATTCCCTCAGATTTGACCTAACGTCAACGGTTTTGCCTGCAGGGGGCAAAAACTGCAAAAATAGCCGATTTTTTCGGGAACAGTTTTTCTGCAATAACTTTTGACCCAAGCCTTGTACGAGCTTACTTTTACCGGCATCGTGTTCCTCTCGTCAAGACGCATCGAATGAACTATAACTTGACCTTGAAAGGTCAACTTGAAAATTTGACCTCAGGTCAAGGTCATGACCTGACCGGAAAGGGTCATGTTGCATATCAGTCGATCCGTATCGTCGAGCTGAACACATATAAGGCGTTTTCATCGCTCTAGCATGCCTCTATCAAAAGTTATTTGCGAAAAGCTGTTAGATACCATTCGTGACCTAAGATGACCTCAGGGCACAAACAAGGGTCACGGACACCATTTTCATGTTCAGTGTGTCTAAACCACTTGTAATTCGGTGTTTGGGAGTGTTTATAATGTCTTTCGTCCAAAAGAGGCGCATTTCAATTTTCTCCCATTGACTTATAATGGGGAGGTCGCAAAATTGACCTGACCTTAGGTCATCGATATCAAAATTCTGAGATAAACATTTTGTACATGCTATTGCTCTTAGCAATCGCTGAAAGTTTCAAAGCGATCGGTCACTCGGTGTAGCTATGACAGACATTGAAACTTTTTATGAGGTGAGGTCACTTCAAGTGACCTGGTGACCTGACCTTGAATGACCTTGGTCTGAAATTTTCACAACATGTGTAGAATTGATGTATGATAAGGTGTACCAAAAACGGCGGCGCTCCGCGCCGCCGTTTTTGAGATATTCGCGAAAAACCACAAGGGGGGGGGTGTTCAAACACCCCCCCCCCCCAGCAGGGCGCGGGATATTGTAACGAACCGACTTGGGAGGGGAACGGAACAGCCGTAGCACACGCCGTAGCTCGTCCCCTTTCCGTTCGGCATTTGTCCTGCATTGGTACGGCTAAGATGGTGTTTTGTATGTGGTAAAAGGTGCCGCTGGGTCCAAGGATTCCGGCTAGCTAGGTCCATCATAAAAATGTTCATTTCGTGTTCTCTGGTGTCAGCGCGGAGGCATTTTCAGCCCACAGAGCCCAGAGGGTCAATCAACATCGTCAACATTACGCAGGTCAGTGAGTCCTTTCCACTCGCCCTGGCGGCATGAGTACTTCCTCCTTCAACCCGTAGAGATCATCCGATCTCGGACCAGCGCTACGCTTCCTCCGCTCGCCCTCTGTCGTAAGCGTTGGAGTGCTTTCGCCTTTCCCTTCCTGGCAGTCCTTCGAACTGATCCAGATAATATGAAAAACGGTTATTTGCTTGTTGGGTGGGGGACGGGTTAGGGGCGCGCCGACTGCAAGGTCATTTTGCGCCCATAAAAAATAAACGGAAAAGATGCGGATAAGACTGGACTCGGACGTCCCTCTTCTCCCCAAGCGTTTTTATTTCTGTCTAATCCGGACTGCTCCGACCTCCGTAGCGCTCGGCATGGGTACTGGTGGGCGACACTCTGAGACCACCGCTTACTGCATCGCTGCATCACATGTATTGATCCAGATCACACGACAGCAATCATCATCCGCCCGTATAACGATGAGCACAGCAAGAAACGGACATTAGCAAGATATATGTATTCAACAACAGTAACAAGAGATCATCTCCTCCAGAAGCCGAGTACGGTCACAACCTTGAATCCTAGCGGTTAATTCGTTACAGCCCCACAGTTGGCCGGCCGAGCGTCACCACCCGTACACACACCAAACAACGACATTGGCCCAGACCGCGAAAACAGCCCACAGCGCGCACTGATTATAAAACACCCAGCCACTACTGTTCCCTCTCTCACTCACTCCCACACGCGCGCATTGACTCGGCTCTGACTGTGGCGCCGCCTGGCGGCCGTCTGCCCCTCTGACACAGGTACACGATCACAGCTGGTGGCGGGGCGGCGCCGCGGACCGCCTGGGACGCGCCGCGGCGCCGCATCACATTGCTGACCCGTCGGCGGGCGTGGCGCGCTCGGACGGCGGCCGCGGACGGTGGGCGGCCGGCGGCGGCGGGGTGGCCACGCCGCCGTTGCTGCCCCGGGTGAGACAGAGCGCGGTCGGCTCCAGGCGCGCCCGCTTCGCCGGCTCCTCGCCGTCCTCGCCGGACTTGTCCGAGGTGCGCATCACCTCGGCGATCTTGTTCTTGACGTAGTCGAGCGGCGACGCGCCGACCGCCGATCGGCTCGCCTGGGAGGTGGCGGCCAGCGGCTCGGAGGCCGCCGGCCGCTGCTGCTGCTGCTGCTGCTGCTGTTGGCGTTGTTGCTGCTGTTGCTGCTGCTGATACAGCCAGGCCTGGTGAGGCGCCGACAGGCGGACCGGCTCGGCGGCGGACTGCGGCGGCGGCCGCTGTCCGGCCAGCTCCGGCGAGCCCGCCTGAGCCACCCTCATGATGTGGCGCTCCTCGCGGATGAGCCGCGCTCGCTCCATGGCAGCGCGCTCGGCGGCCGCCGACTCGGCCGGTCGGCCGGCCGGCGCCGGCGCGCCGCGGTACCGGTAACCGTAGCTGTCGGGCGGCGGCGGCGGCGCGGCCGGGTACGTGGGCCGCTCGGGCGGCGGCAGCGAGCGCGGCGAGTCGCGACCGGCGGCCGGCCCGCCGCCACGGCCCACCGGCGGGTAGCCGCGCGGCTCCGGCGGCGGCGGCCCGCCGGCGCCGCACGACTCCTGCGTCATCGAGCGGTTGATGATGGTGTCTATCAGCCCCATGGCGGTGAGACCGGCCTTGTCCAGCCCGCGGCCGGCGGCCCGCGCCGCCATCTCCTTATTTATGGAGTTTTGGCGCTGCTGAGCTTGCTGGGCCTGCTGCTGCCGCTGATGCTGGGCTTGCTGTTGGGCCTGCTGCTGGGCCTGTTGGTGAGCCTGCTGCTGCTGATGGTGCTGCAGCAGGCGCTGCTCCTGCTGCTGGCGATGCTGCTCCTGCTGCTGGCGATGCTGCTCCTGCTGCTGGCGGTGCTGCTGCAGCGCCTGCCGCTGCTGACTGGCCGCCGCGGCAGCAGCGGCGGCCGCCTGCTGCTGCTGGTGTTGTTGCTGCTGTTGCTGCTGCTGGCGGTAGCGCTGCTCCTGCTGCTGCCGCTCCCGCTCCATCCTGGACGGCACCATGAGGTTGCTCTGCGCCACAGCCACGTCCACCAGAGTGCTGAAGTTGTCCGGTGCATACGGCGCCGCCGCCAGCCGCTGGTAGGAGTCCGCCGGCGGACGGGACGGTCCCGGCCCCGGGCCCGGGCGGCTGGTCGGCCGCTGGATTACGCCGGCTCGCTGTTGAGCCGGCGGCGGCTGGTGCTGTGGCGCCGGCGGCTGGCGACGCGCCGGGGGCGGCGTGCTCCGCGGCGGCGGAGGCGTGTTGTGCGGCGGCGGCGCGGGCTGGCGGCCGTACATCGCCAGATCGCGCGGCGAGGCGCGCGGGTCGCCGCCGCCGTCCGACGAGCTGCGGCTGTCGCGCCGGCCGTGCATCTGCTGCGACGTGATGTAATCGGTGATGAGCACGTGCCGCGAGGAGAGGTGGTCGCCCGGCGGCGGACCGCCCGGGTACGGGTAGCCGGCCGGCGCGCCGGGCCCCGCGCGAGACGTGTACGCGCCCGGCTCGGCCGACCCCACCAGGCCGCCGCCCGTGGTCGGGTTGTCCCGGCGGCGCGGCTCCGGCTGCATGGGCGTGCCCTGGGTGATGCTGCCGCCCTCGCGGAGATGGGTGGCCGGCGGGCGCATCAGGCCGTCCATCGCCGCCATTGGGGTGCCCTGTGTGATGGAGCCGGCTCCGGCGCGCGGCGCGGGCCGCGGCTCCGGCCGGGGCGGGTAGCCGGCCGGCCAGCCCGCCGGCGGGAGCTGCCGCGGCGCCGGCGCCGAGACGCGCGGCGCCGGCTGCTGCCAGGGCCGGCTGGCGGCCGCCAGGTGCGGGGGCAGCGCGCCGCGCGGCTCCGGCAGCCCCGGGTGCGGCGCAGACACGCGCCGCTCGGCGTGGTACGCGTCCGGCGGCGGCCCGAGCCGCGGCGGCGCCGGCGGAGCCGGCGGCGCACTGCGACGCGGCGGCGGCGGCGGCTCGGAGCCGGCCGGCCGACGCACGCTCAAGTCCTGCGCCACGTTGTCGCAGTCCTGCACCGGCTGCGGCTGCGGCTGCGGCGGTGGCTGGCCGCGGCGCTCTCCGGCAGTCAGCAGACTGTTGAGCGTAAAGTCTCGGGCGTCTCCGCCGGCGGTCGGCGAGTCGCCCTCTCGCTCCATGCGCGCCAGCACGTTGCGGAAGGAGCGGTTGATGGTGACGTCGATCAGGTCGCCGATGGAGGGCCGCGGTCCGAGACTGGTGGTCGGCGGCGGCGAGATGGCGCACACGGCCGGTCCAGGCGGCGGCTCGGCCGGTGCTGCTGAGCGGGCCGGCGCCGGCGGCGGGTCGGCGTGGTTCTGCAGCGCCGCCGACCTCGGCCGGTCAACCGCCACCACCTTCACCTCGGGCTCTGCCGACGCCTCATCGGCCGATACCTGACAGAGGGAAGACGGGACAGTCAGAAATGGCAAACACCTGCTGAGTGCAGCTTAGGGGAATAATCGCAGAATAATCGCAGCCTCATAAAAAGTGTTCAATAATTAAGTGGGCAGCTACGGACACCTGGATAAACGCTGGGAAAATCTCCGAAGCTCGGCTGCTACGGAAATATTACCCACCCATCGCACGCAGCTCGGATCATCTAAATGAATTGGCAATTATTATTAGGTTTTGCGCGTCCTCACTTGTACGCCGAAACGTTTATGAGCCTCTCCTGGAAGTAAATGCTAAATAAGTAATGACACCCCACTTAGCATCAATCAGATTCCGACCCTCCCGAGCCCCGGCGCTGGCCAGCCTCCCTCCCGACCCCCAGCGCTGGCCGGCCTCCCTCCCGACCCCCAGCGCCGGCCTCCCTCCCGAGCCCCAGCGCTGGCCGGCCCCCGTCCCGACCGGCCCGGCCCGTTACGTACGGTGGCCGAGCTGTCACCACGCCGCTCGGAGGCCGTCGGCACGGGCCTCTCGTCCTCCTCTGCTCCGCTCGATTCCTCGCTCTCAGTGTCAGTGTCCGTCAGGTCCTCAGCCGCCAGGTGCAGTCCGGCCGCCTGTAAACAGAGCATCAGGTTAGTCAGTGGGACAGATACCAAACAGCGCTGGGGAGGGCGACACCGTACGGTAGGGTTACAGACACCATGCCAGACTGTCCGTCCGGTGCTAACCAGTTCAGCTCCAGGAACACCGACAGGGTCGTCTAATGGCGTGCCGACCCACCCTCCGTTCGCCGCGGGCGGACAGGCATTTCCGAGAACGCGCCGGCGGCGGCGTACCTCCGGAGCTGCATTATCTCCGCACGGCACGGCGCAGTTACATGATCCGTGTGATCGCTAGAGGAGGCCTCCTGGCCCAGATCGGTACACGGTCGGCGGCTCTGCTCACCTGTCTGTACTCCGCCAGCGCGCGCTGCAGGCCCAGCTCGGGCCGCCGCTGGGCGTACAGCCGGCGGCACTGGGCCGGCCGGCGCGAGCCGACGGCCGCCGCCGCCGCCGTCCAGTCGGCGCCGCCGCTGCGCAGCGCCTGCCGCAGCCGCTCCAGCTCGTCATCCGTCCAGGGCGGCTCGGCGGGCGGTTCGGGGCGGCCGGCCAGCCGCCGCGCCAGCCGGCCGCGGCAGGCCGTGCAGCATTTTATCACCTCGGGCGTCAGCTCTGCGGCACAGACGGGACAGACATTGGTCAGCGGAGTCGGTACAAATGCACAGGTCACGAACAACCCACGAATGTCTCAATGGGATGGAACAGCCAGATGTTCAAATCGACTAGATTGGCCATTATCCGACTAATGAATTGGAATGAATAGTCAGATAAAGCACAACACACTGCGACTCTGCCAGACTCGAATATCCTTGGATATGAGGGAGCTGCACTACTGACAAAATAATGTTAGCACATATTCAATATGATCAACATATCAAAATTCCCTTTCCCGCCCCCGGCGGCGTCACCGGTCGACCACTCACGCAGCTCGGCGGCGATGGTCTGTCGCAGCGAAGCGTCGGCGTCGGCCCAGCGCGCCGGCAGCGGCCGCAGGCGCTTCACCCGCTGCCGAGGCGTCGGGCACGTCGGGATCGGACACTTGACCCTGCAACACCCGCAGCACAGCACCGTTAGAGAGACGAAGTTAGGTGAGCGCAGGTATAGCAGTTAGTGCAATCAAAAACAACTATATCTGATTGTTACTCTATACATGATAAACGATAAGCCAACAACTGACAATCGGTGCTCATCACGATATCGGAACTCCAAATCGGTCGGATAACCGTCCAATGTCATTAAGAACGGTCATGTGACCGTTCTTAGAAAAAAAAAAATACCATTGTGCTATCAAGGACATTTCGAGGAGCGCAGATGTGCGTGGGGAGGGACAGACTAGGCCGGGCTGTAGTGCGGTGTACTCACTGCGGGTAGCGCCGGCGGGCCGAGCGGCCGCGGCAGACGGCACACACGCGCGCGTCCGCCGGCAGCGTGTCCTCAGACAGCCCGTAGAGCGTAGCATGCTCGGGCAGCAGCGGGCGCCACTCGTCTGCCGTGTCGGCGCCCTGCTCCGTCTGACAGACCGCGCACGCCACTGCCGGCGGCGCGGGCTCCGCGGCGTCCCCTCGTTCCTCCACCTTGACGGTCGGCTCCTCTCCACTCCCCACCGCCGCTGGTTTGGTGTCGGTGCCTGTGTCGCCGCCCTCCGGCTGCGAGCCGCCGTCCGCCGGGGCGGCGGTGGCAGCAGCAGCGGCGGCGGGCGCGGCGGGTGCCGGGGCGGGGACGGCACTGCTGGTGCTGGTGGCTGTGCCCGCCGCCGCCGAGCCGCCGGTCCGGCCGCGCTGCTGCAGGGCGCCGCGGGTAGTCATGCCGGGCAGGTCGGCCCCGATCACCAGCGGAGCCGGCGGCGGCCGCGCCGGGCCGCGCGTCCGGCCGCGACTGCGCGCCTTCTTCAGACGCTCCTTGTACTTGAATTGCTTCTTACTCAGGTAGTAGTGCCGCACACACTCGCGGGTCGAGTGACGCTCCAGGGCGGCGCTGATGACGTGGAACTGTTTGGGGTGCTGCAGGAAGCGCTCGTTGAACGTCTGCCGCTCCTCCTCCGTCCAGACGTTCAGGTTGGAGAGGTCGTCGTGCAGCTGCAGCGCCTCGCTGGTGAGGCCGCCGCGGTTGATGAACCGGTGTTTCCTCCGGCGGGCGTCCAGCATGGGCGGCGGCACCACGGCCAGCGAGAGCAGCCGCTGCCGCTCCGTCTGCCCGACACAGAGACCAGCGCCCGGGGTCAGAGGGGCCGCGCACCGGCACGCCGCAGCGCGCCAACTTTACAGCGCAGAGCCGCCCAGCGGCGACCGGTGACCTTTCCCGGTAAGCAGCGCACGACTGACATTTATATGAGCACTTTCAAAGCAGACAGTTTCCCAGAAAATGTGCTGCGCTTTCAGATCAGGCCCGGTTGCCCGTCCTGACTCACAAGCGAGCATAATTGGATGTCGAGCAGGCGCCGCCGCCCTGACATCAGCAGATTCGTCTGCCGCCCGTGGCTGGTCCGGCCGGAAACCCCTGATCCCAGCACACGCGGACATGACTGCCGGGGGTCGGGCCGCCCTCCCCGTGCCGCTCACCATTTTCTGCTGGACGCCGTCCGGCTGGTCGTCCTGCTCGGCTCCGTCGGGCCGGGCCGGTCGGCCACCGCCGGCCGCCAGCCGCTCGCGCTCCTCACGCAGACGGCGGATCTCAGGGAACACCTTCTCGTAGAACTCGCGGTCGCGCGCGGCGCACTGCCGGTGCTTCTGTGGGTGGGCGGGAGTGGCCGTGGTCAGAGCTTTAAATACACCATATGGCACCACGCCAGGCGAACGGCGGGTGGATATAGGGAAGAACGAATATTCATCGCCTAATATGCAGGGTTGTGCAACAAAGACAGGATAAAGACCCGTCCTAGCACCAATTATTACTAGGGCTGGTTTTTGCTTCGCCCTCCATGGTACATTTATGCGTTTTATGGCACGTATTGATGGTAAGCCGTTGGTGGTACTTTGTGACTAGGTATAACGAGTTAAATGTGCGTCACTAATTAAATTGCATTACCACTCCAGTCCCCACCCATGCTCCGTGTCCCCGAGTCACTCACGGGCACCATCTCGTGCTGCTGGATACGCCGCAGCCACTGCCGCAGCTGTCCGGTATACGTGTGCAGTGTGTCACGGTCCCGTCCGATCTCTGCCAGCCGCCGGCGGCGGATCGACGCCACCAGGCGCGGCTTGAAGGTGGCGAATGCGGCACGGTTGGCGGCGTACGCGGCGACGTCCGACGGCTGGTTGTAGAGCGGCTGGACGGCGTGCAGTCGCCACCGCTCGGCGCCGTCCGCGCCCACCGCCGGCTGCAGGGGCAGAGGGGCAGGTCAGGGGAGCACGGGAGTCTGTGGCTGGCCAGGACGCCACGGGAGGTGAGGAGATGTAAGGAACACGGAGGAGACTGAGGCTGACATGACTCACTGGCTGGGAGAGGTCGAAGAAGAAAGAGGACACACAGGACACATCGGTGGCACGTCCACAGCAGGCCGTACCACAGAGGGAGGTCAAAGAAGCCACTAGACACATGCAGGTGACTGCAACGCGCGAAAGAGGGAGGGTATGACGCAGGGTAGCCGCGGCAGCTGCTGAGGTCCGCTGAGCCTGCTACTCGAGGTTTATTGCTAAGGTTGCCAGGTCAGAGAGGCCACATCGACCAGACACGAGGATAGGCATATCGCTCGACAAGGACGCCGTGTGTTGCTTACAATGGAGACAGGTGGGCCGAGAGGCCCGCGATTCGGGCCACGGAGCCATAAATAATTCAACACCATTCGTCATTGTCTGAATTCGCTCGGACATTCGGCTAGCCATCGTGTGTTTCCGGGCTACCGTTCGCTTCTCTCGTGCACACATAATACACAAACTTCAGCATGCTTCAGCAATTCACGGCCTACGTCCACCAGGCAATGATCAGCTGGGCCCTTGGTCATTACCAGGAGGCCTCACACCCTCAGTAACAAATAACTACATGCCCTATCCTTCCGACCCCTCAGTCCCGCCGTCACTCCATGTGGAACTCACCATCACCTGGGCCGGTTTCAGTTTCTCCAGGTCCGCGGTTGCTGTCCGTGCCCGCTTCTGAAATGTGTCACCTCGGTCAGATTATGAGCTGAGCACACCCACAATGTCGAGCCAGCAATTGTTCAGTTTGCTCCAGGGAAATTCTGGACGCGGTGAAAGGGCCGATTCTTGAGGTATACAATAATGGCTACGTCGCACATGATGAACACAGTTACTGAACAATGAACATGCTACCTCATAAACACGGACGCAGTTATATCAAACAAGCCTGACAAAACGACGCAAATGACCAAACTTATGCAACACATGACTTGAAAGCGTACAAACACGCCTGCAGATGTACCGCATGACTGACTGCAAACCTAATGAGCACGAGTCTCGATTACGTCCAGACTATTTCGAGTACCCTTCAAACAACCAATCTGGCCCCCGCATACGGCCGTCTCCCCGACCTAGCCCAGAAAGGTCCACAGGCGTCACACTCGTAAGACCCCATTCCACAGACTCCACACATTACAGACTCCATACACTCTCCATCCCGTCCTTAGACTCTACAGACTGCCGACTCCCCACCCACCCGGTTGTCGGCGTAGATGGTCTGCGGCAGGCTGGTCATCTTGGGCTCCCGCTCGTCCTCAGAGACGGAGCCGTCCGGCCGCGCCGCGTGCTGCTCCAGCTCGCTCTGGCGACGACAGGACATTCAGAGCGGTCACCGGTGGGTCATAGATGGGTGGGTCATTAAGGTCCATGAATGTCACTGCCACTAATCACCGACGTAACAGACAGGACTGCGCTTGCCGCACCATTTATCACAAAGTTTGATAAGCATCCGCCTAATCCTCCAATGAACGTCGGAAACAACCCTAAAGCGCAGTCTCTCCCAAGAGTCCAACAGCTCATCAGCCGCCATACCATGGACGCAGAGGATAGAAGATGTTACAAACCTACGCACACACACACATGACTATACAGTCAAGTAGACCGGTTGGTCGTGCATCCCTACCCGTCTCCGGCTTGTATTCTGTGCTCTCACCTGTTTCCGTTTGAGTTTGGCGATCTGCGACTCTGCCTTCATGATCTCCCTGTCGATAGTGCTGATCTGGCCGAGCAGCTCGTCCTTTGTGGAGCGGAGAGGCGACTCGTCCAGCCCGTCGGCCGGCAGCGTCGGCGATATGGCCTCCGTCTGCGGGTTGTACGGCGACTCCTGGGGACGGCGGCGGTGGTGTCAGAGCGGCTGGTGTCGCGCTGTACGGTCATGGGAGTGGGAGGACGAGAACACGGGCAGTCTGATGTCAGTCATTACTATCATTAGCAGATACAGAGGAGAGTAAGTGGATATTAGTAGCCGACCGGTGGCCAATTATTATGCGCCAACGGCATTAAACCCAGCCGCTAGCTTTGGCAGGGCGATCATGTCAGCCACAGCTGACTTCAATCATCTACGTATCGATAATACATAAGAGCGCGGAAAAAGAAACTAAAGAAAACACGGGAAAAAAATTCCTCGGGTATTGCTCCCAAAATAAATAACGACAGCAAAAGTAATGAGGCGCAAAGAAAAAGATAAATATTTCTGGCAATCGGCAAACACCCATATGACCAACAGAAAAAAATGCAATTTCCATGACGGCGTGGGCGTCGGAGTAAACCTGATTGAATACCAATCCATTGTTATCGCAGGCGCTTTATTCGCCTCTATTGTACGGCGCTGAATCGCCAGAGCGGGGGTTTACACAGAACTAATACCATTTACGAGGTGGGGTCGTGAGCTGTGGTAACCAGTCCAACTAGTTACTGATCATCCTACTGAGCCAGTGGCGATAGATTACAATGATACCCCGGGGAGCCATCCGCCCTCAGCGCTGGTCGGCCGAGGAAGCTCCCTGGAGTTACGCCGTAGGGTTTCTCCAATATACGGCACACAGGTCTTCGTGGGTCGCGCAGGGTTCAGGATTCGTCGCTCCACACTGCCACGGTAGATTGAACGTGATCCCACTGCATAAGTCCGTAGGGAAGGTCGGCGGAGAGCCATAACTTCAAGCTCGTGCTAGACAACTATTTTACTAGACGAATGCCCCAGACCACGCAATGCTGGGAAGGGAGACGCTTCATTTTGATGAGCACGTGAGCACGTAGCAAAAAGAGCTAATTTGTGTAAGATGTGAGGCTTTCACAACCCTCTGTCGGATGTTTAGCGGTAATTATCGTTATCCTACATCACCCCATCTTGACAATGTCCCATGATAATGTCACAATGTCCGAGAAGAAGTCTTAGAAGCCAAGTAACAAACCAAAAATAAAAGGGAACTGAATGGCACCACGCGGATGCAGTGCCTGCAGTAATTGTCTCTAAGAGGGTGTTCGGTAACTCAGTTTCAGTTTCACGTGACTTCAGTCGACCAGCGGCGCCGGTCACGGGCAGGACGTGCCACCCTGACCCGTTACCGACCGGCCGGCACACATCCGGGCCGCTGACAGCCCACGTCCGCTGAATCCGCCCCTGTCCGGCCGCATTTCGGTCAGCCAGGACGTGTGACCGCTCCGGTACGCCGGCGCCATCCGCGCGCTGTGACATCTGGTTTGTTCAGACGTTATTAAATTTCACTACTCCGTCTGTCATCTCTAATTCCCTTGCATCGTGCTGCGAATAACAATCGCTTGTCCCGGGGTAACAAAGTATTGATCTAATTGCCAGAAAAGTGGACAGGGGATTTCCCCGATATCGCTTAGTACCATGTGACGTCACCGCAACATTAGCATTTACCGTCTGGACGTAGGTCTATTATGTTCCTTATTCGGAGTCACATAATGGGAAAGTTGTGACCACAAGGAGACAATGCACATACAAAGGAGAGCCCAGCTGCACAATCCACGACAGCTACACCGGATTTCGAAAGGAAGACGAACCATGAAAATGAACGATGTGAAAAGGGCAAATACGGGTTACTTATGGCGAATAGGGACCAGATGTCCGCCAAATTTACATCACCCTACTTTCAAACCTGGCTATTCTCAGCCGTTTCACATGTTCATATTGGTGATTGGCCCCAACAAAGGCAAGAACTGCCATAATTCTAAGACCGGGAGGTCCATAACCGAGCTAGAATGATCTACCCCGGCCTCTACCCGCGTCATCCTGCCTCCTTAGAATGTGGAGGCGGGAACTGGCCAGCTGCGAAGTCCTTACACCATCCGAGTGTGTGACCCCCTGGGCCGCGACCCCCTTAGTGACGATGTGTAGCCCCCCCCCCTCATTACTAACCCGAATCCCCCTCACTAACCCGCTGGGAGGCCTCTGCCCCCGTGACGATGTGCAGCGGCAGACGCGGGTCGCCGCCGGGTACCGAGGAAGGAGCGCTGGAGCCGTCCGTCACCGATACGCCACCTGGCGCACGAGCCGTCACCGATACGCCACCTCCTCCGCTGGTCCCCATCTCCCGCTCTCCGTATGATCTGTCAGTCACACAGGGCACAGGGAGGGTGGTGAGCGAATGACCGAACTGACTTCTGATAGCAGGCGCGCATACATGGTGACACAACATAGGCTGTTGTTGAAAAAGGGAAACATAGAACGAACGAGTCTATTGAGCTTTTCGTCGCAGAACTGAGAAAACAAATGTTTGAAGGTATCATTATTGTGACCGTTGCTCAGGCATCAGGCATTAATGACAGCGTAGCTCCGCGCTAATGGCCCAGCAGATCTGTGTTCCAGGAATAGTGCGACTGTCAGGGATTACTATGTCAGGTTGACAGGCCGGCCTTTTACGCAGTACTGGCAGGGTGTTGCCGCGGTTACGGCCGGCTACCCCGGACGGGGGAGGGGGAATGGCCTCCATGATACCCGGGCCAAGAAGAATTAACCTTAGACAAACCGGGGGAGGGAAAACTGGACTCAGAAAGTCCGGGTCCCGTTAGAGCGGGTACTGAGCCCAGGCAGGCCCGGTTAGCCGAGGGTGTGGCCTATGGATGAGGGAAACTGACCTCCCGCGGGCCGGGTCCCCTGAGGAGGTTGGGAGGGTGGCCTGTACTGACCTCCGGTAGGCCGGGTTCCCTGAGGAGTTTATACGTGGGCAATTACTGTCCTCAGGCAGACTGGGTTCCTTGAGGAGGCTGAGGGAGTGTGGAGAAGTGACCTCCGGTAGGAGGTTGGGAGGGTGGCCATATACTGACCTCCGGTAGGCCGGGTGCAGCACGGCCCGGTCGTCGGTCAGCCGCGGCGCCAGGCCGGCCAGCTCGGCGCCGTGGCCGTGTCCGCTGGGCAGCAGCGTCGGCCGCCGGGCGCGCCGCTGCTGCTCAGCCACCGCCGCCGCGGCCGCCGCCTGCTGCTGCTGCAGCTGCAGCCGCTCCTGCTGCAGCCGCTCCACGTGCTGCTGTTGCTGCTGCTGCTGGAGACGCTCATGGTGCTGCTGCAGACGCTCGTGCTGCTGTTGCTGCTGCTTGAGCTGCTGCTGCCGCTGTTGCTGCTGTTGCTGCTGCTGCTGCTGCTGCTGCTGCTGCTGTTGGCGTTGTTGTTGCTGCTGCTGTTGTTGCTGCTGTTGCTGACGCTGCTGCTGCTGTTTCTGCTGCGCTTGCGCCTGCGCCTGTGCCTGCTGCTGCTGCTGTTGTTGCTGCTGAAACAACACAGCAATCAATCAGCCAAACTGCTGAAAATGAACAGAACAATGCTAAAAGTACTGTCCGTGAACAATGCCAAAAGTACCGTCGGTAATCCCGGCCGGAATGTCTGTCTCAGAGTCGCTCTGGGCAGCTGGGACGCTCAGCCCTGCTGCACGCTGCAGTCTTGGTGACGTGTATCCGCGCTGAGCCAGCCACACGACCCTCATCCCGTGACCGGCGGATGATATACCAACGCCGCACACAAACACAGCTGCTGGGGGCGCACCGCCTGCACGGAGCGCGGGCGGGACCCAATCAGACCGTAATCGAGAGACTCGGGTCCCCATCACCCAGCTCGCCAGTCGGTCAATGTGCCGAGTGGGCGGTAGGACTGACTGACACTGACAGGACTGACTGTGTGTGTCAGTCCAACAGTTGACTGACGGACGGCGTTAGGTGGACGGCGGTGAGTGTAACTCACCAGCTGCTGCTTGTAGCGGCGCTGCTCGAGCGCGTACTGGTCGGCGGCGGCGGCGGCAGCGGCGGCCGACAGCGGGTCGTGTCGGTGGAGCCGCGGCGGCGGGGGCACGCCGGCCCGCTCCGGCTCCGGGCGGACAGGCACCGGCGCCGGCTGGAACACAGGGGAGGAGAATACGTCAGTTACACGGTACTAACTCAACACACCACCGGCGACTCACAACACAGGGAAGGCGCACAGAACACACTGACTGCCACACGGTACTAACTCAATACACCACCGGCGACTCACACCACCGGCGACTCACAACACAGGGAAGGACACCTATCCGTGTTTCCATCCTCAAGATACTGAAATCCTTTTCCTCCACGCCGCAACCCCCCTCCGGGCTGGACAGGCAACTTTATCTCATGCGGGCTGCTCCCTTGGAGCGGCACCGCTGCTCCCGAGGGAGCGCACCCCGTAGCCGGGTGCAGTGAGTGCCTTGGGGCTGGGTGGCCTGTCTTCGGACGGGCTCAGCCCCGGCGACTCACTAGGGTGCCTGCCCAGACCAATGTCTCCCCCTATATCCTATCATCCTCCCGGCTCTGAAATGGTCTTACTGGACCGAAAGGGCCTAACCCAACAAAACAAAAAACAAACAAACAAACAGGGAAGGCGCACGCCGCACAGAACACACTGACTGCCACACGGTACTAACTCAACACACCACCGGCGACTCACAACACAAGGCGCACAGAACACACTGACTGCCACACGGTACTAACTCAATACACCACCGGCGACTTAAACATAAGACACACACAAGTAATCAAGCGTCCAATCCAAAAATAAAATTATGAACCTAATAGAATCCAGAAGCTCTTGAAATGCCTAACAAAAAGTTGCGATAGCTACATCAGCTCGAGTTCGGATCAGAGGCGAGTAAAAAGCCGAATGACATTGCCGCCAAAACACCCGACAGCGTTCCAACGGTTGCCCTCCCGGCAATGTATCGAACGACGCCGTAAACTCTCGAGTGGCCGCTCGGGCGTTCGATACCGTACACCGCCCAGTTCATCTGACGGAATCCGGCACAACGTCCGGCCCGCTGCACTGCCTGCGGGCGTGGCCGGGCTATCTTAATCGGGAGAGATATACGCTGACGTACTATAACGTGGGAAAAATAGTTGTAACGAAGATCCTGTTATGATAAGACTTTACATAAGGCATGCCTGGGTTCGGATTGAGGCATCTTTTCTAACAATGCCGTCGTTAGGTAAGGAACCCACACTATGTCTGTATATGGGCATCAGTAACACATGACACGATGACTTCACCTTGACCTTCGTAACACAACGTGCGAGGTGGCCGCGACCGGCGGCGCCACCGCCGACTCAGCAGGTGATTATGTACCGGGTCACTGTATATCACCGTATCTACCACTGACACAGCACGCTCCTCGAACACCAATGAGGGGTCCAACGTCCATGACCTTGCCCCTCCCCGCCCCACTTCCTCCGGTGCTCTACCCCGACTCCCAGCCCGCGGCGCCATCTCGCTCTGCCAGTCGGTAACAATGCCCCCCCCCCCCCCCCCGGTCCATGACAGCCGTCCGGGCCGGGCCGGATCCGGACAGAACCGGCGACCACTGCCGGAGCGCAGCCCGTCGCACCGGTTCCCGATCTGCAGTCCGACCGGCCGCCCGCTCTCCACAACTTGTCCACTGACCTTCGAGACGAGTTTCAGCCCGGGATGAATCTGGAGGAAAGGCTAACGTGCCCACCAAGGCCAGCGGGCCTCCGGAGAGCCACAACATGCCCAAAAGGAGCGCATAACATCCAGAAACGATATCCGTCTTATGTAAGACTGGAATGTTTATATGAAATACGCCAGACGTGGAAACATTCAGATGTGTGCAATGTTCAATGCTCATTGTTCACCCACGCTAGCTGTGGTAGATTAATATCGGAAGATAAATGAAGGCCGGATCTGAACCGAGACCCGACTGCCAGCACCATACACCTGGCAGACGGAACATGGGGACAGAGACCGACCGACCGACCCCACCTGGCGGCCAGAGGCGGGTGTAGCGACCTTCGGCGAGACAGCTGACTCCGATTTCCCACTGACTCACCCCGTTCGGATGTATCGCACAGGTGGTCCGCTCATCGTGCCACATCCCACTGTCACCAGCTTCATATCCTTCCGTCCCTATACACGTCACGATGACACCCAGCTAATGACGGTGCACATACCAACACCCGCGGTCAGTAAGACTCAGGATGTGTCAGCAAAACGGAACAATACAAGGAGAGGACCCGTCGGAGGTTTGAGAGGCAGCCGTGCCGTATTGAAAGTGCATTGGTGGGACGGGAGCTGCATGGCCGCTCCGTGGGCGAGCGGGGCGGTGCGCTCAGCAGACTGTAGGTGACACATCTGGACGTTAGCTCTGCGCCTGTGGGTACTTACCGCCGGCCCACCCCACCGGGTCGCCGACCCAGCGACCACACCACCCCCATCCTCGGCCAGATGCGGGCGCCGGCCCACGCTACACCCCGTCCCAGGGACGCCCGCAGGCCGGCAGGGACCGTCCGTCCGGACCCGGACCCACGCCGGTCGCCAGCTGTTCCTCCGGGCCGGACCGCTATAACGCGGATAGCACCATCCATCGCTGTACCGATCTCCTACCCTGTCCCAGCGTAGTGCCCTGGGAGCGAACCGCTATAACGCGGATAAGACAATCCATCGCTGTGCCCGGTCTCGACCCTCAGTGCCCTTACCGGACCGCTATACCCTAATCTCCGCCCCGAGTCGTCGGCGTACCGGGGATCACGCTCCCCACCCGCCGCTGCGCCGTCCCGGCACCCCAGACAATGCCGGTTGGCCCTACCAGCAGCCAGCGTGCCCAGCCGCCCAGCCGTTACAGTAACGGACTCGTCCCCGGGGGGAAACAGATACACAAAGCCGGCAAACAGTGACGTCACACCTGGAGATGACGTCACAGGGAGGAGGGGTCGGCGCGGAACGCAGGTGTAGGGGAGAAAGACTGGCTGGAAGACGAGAGCAGGCGCCGCGGGTCGTCACACGACACAAAGCAGGGATTTCCTTGTATGCGGGCGGGTTGTGATCTAGTGCGCCTTTGTTCGGCGGATTCAGACTCAGAGTTCGTCCGACACAGCCTGGCGCCAAACACCTGTCAGAAAACTCCGCAACAACTCCGCACGATGGCCAGTCATTGTATAAAACGGTCACAGGGGAGGCCCACAAAGAGATAAACTCGCTCCCCTACGGACATGGGGTGGTGGCTATATGCCAAATTTAGATACAAAGACTACCTGGAAATCAATGTAATACTTTCATTTCGATTACGCTTGAATGACGTCAACCATCTCCAACAAAGATACTGGTGAGCACGGTAGTGCCATGATTGATGACCTTGACCTTTCGAAAACCGGTCATTGTCGAGAGCTACTCGAGCGTCGAGTGCGGGATTCTCGGGTGCCGCCGCTGTGATACGGCCCGGAATGTCAGTCCGCGGCGCGGCGGGTGGCCGCTGTTGCGGTGTCCGCCGGGGGAGGGGAGGGGCGGGGGGGGAGAACGTTCCGGCTCGGAGCCCACCGCAATGTGTCACGCCGACTCTCACGTGGGTCGGCGCACAGTGTGGCCGAAGACCAGTTTAGCGCGAATTTAATCCCAGCGCCGCTCGGATCCACTGAAAATGGTTCTCTGGTTCCAAAACTGACGTTTACCCCTCACCGGACCTATTGGTTTTCAAAATACCCCCCCTTCGCCGGCCGAAGGGGGGGGGGGGTACGACCCCCGTCGCTGTTTGGCCCTTGATGAAGCTAGAGCCTCGCGGAAAAAACGAGCGTGTGTGCCGTTACGAGACGCAGCAACTGGTATCCGATTTTAAGGTCTCAGGTTAACCTGTGACCTCTGAGTTCAGGTCAAGTGGCCCAAGGCACGGATTCGTTTTTTATTAATAACTTCGCGAAAAAATGCCGCAGAGTCCGCAATTTTGGCATCATCGTGTTCGCCTCGCTCAGGTGCGTCGAATGGTATACTTTTTGTTCGGCTGAAGTCAACTTAAGGTGTTGACCTCGGGTCAAGGTCAAGTTAGAGCCCCCCAGATCACGAAGTTGGTCGAAGGAGGTCATGTTGCATATCATTCGATTCGGCAGGTCTTCCTGAGTCCATTGGTGGCTTTCCCGACTCGCTAGCTCAATTTGATCAGGAGTTATTGACGAAAAACTCTTATTATCCTAGTGACGTCATAAATGACGTCACGTAAGGCCAATAATGCAAAAGTGAAGCATCGAACCTTGCAAGGAGTGCATGAAATCACGATTCCGTGTGCTTGAGATAGTTTATTAGGCTGGAGCCTGTTCGGCCGCGCCGCCCCCCACCTTGGTCAGGTCACGCCGGGCGGCCGACTAGACATGTTCAAAGCTGAATTGACGGCAAATAGGCAAAAAGTGGCAGCTGAAACTTGCTCGCTTATGTTCAGAAATGTGCGTAGAGTTCAGCCATGCCCTATTCGTCATATCCATTTTTATCCATTTTGACATTTTCCAACTTCTTTATGAAATACTATTGTGAGAACGATACACATGCAGGGCTCCTGTTCTAACTCATTAAACTCAGAAACCATTCATTGAAAAGCTACCATGATAGCAGAAACAGCTTCATCATGAATTGTGCTATCCGGTGATATGCTATTTTCTCATATATCTTCTCGAAGCTTCCGTAAAATTTACATTGAAAACTGGACATATTTCTCAGTACCATAGCCCGATTTCAGGAACCGGAGCGTGGGTCTACTTTCGGCAGGGATATAAGTCCTCAAATGATAAAGTGGCTTAAAAATAAGGTTCTATCCGATAACTTCGGACAATTTCCTACCCATTGATAGGTATAAATAACAGTTTATCGAAAGTCGGGTTTTTGATTAAATTCGCGCTAATCTGGTATTCGGCAAGACTGTGCGGCGGTTGGCACGCCGCCAACAGCGCCCGCCCGGCCGAGGTTGGCGGTGTCTAATGTTGGCGAGGGTCGGCCATGCGGCGCGGCGGCGCTATCGGCAGTGGGGCAGCCGCCGAACAGCTGACCGGCGGCAGAGGGAGGGGAGGGGAGGGGACGGCGTGCGGCAGAGGGGCGCGGGTCAGCGGCCC